CAAGCAATGGCTGCTGGAGATAAGACAACACAAGAGAATAAAAGTGTTGACTCTGTACACGATGTCAATTATTCTGATCTTTCTATGTCAGGTAAAACTTTAATTTAGCTTAGCGAAAATAAAATAAAAGGTAAAATATTGTAAAAATGTATCGTGGTACGTTACGTAATTTTATTATAAATAAACACACACACACACACACACATATATATATATATATATATATATATATATATATATATATATATATATATATATATATATATATATATATATATATATATATATATACAGCATTGCACCTATGCTTCATTGCATGCATTAGATTATGTTTACATAAACAAATTTTACAAGTTGCAGCTGATTTAAGTAACAAACTGGAGCAAAGAGTAGAACGTATTGAAACAGCGCTAGCTTCTATGCAAAGTAGGAATAAAAAAGCTGAAGCTGACGTGACTGAAATTAAGCAATGGAGGGACACTTATAAAACAGAAGAAAGTAATGTGAAGGAACATATAGAGCAACTGGCTATAAAACAAAAACATAATTCTAAGCAATTCCGAAAGCAAATTAACGAACAGAAAAATATAACAGATGAGATGAATGAAGAATTGAAACAATTGAATGAAATAAAACAATGGAGGAAAGCACTTATATCGGAACATAACACTATGGCAAAAAAACTTGAAGAATTATCTATGACACTAACAGATAATAAAGAAAAGACTAGAGAGCAAATACAAGAATCCAAAACAAGAATAAATGAGTTGAATACAGAAATTAAGACCCTTAAAGAAAAAGAATCAAATACAAGACAAGCTCTAGAAAGCACGAATACAGAGATGAAGAAGTTTGACATTATATTGAACAAAATAAATGAAGAATTAGAAATTCACACAACTAAAACAGAAAAATTGCAAAAAGAAATTAAAAGTCATTCTGATGTTATTTCTCACTTGAGGGAAGAAGGAAATAAAAACAAAAATACGGAAATCAAAGTAGAAAAGTTAATGTCCATGGTTTGTACCTATTTTACGTTTGGAACACATAAATATTTTATTGAATGGATTTGGTGGCTTGTATTCTATTAGTTAATGCCCAAGCACTTTAACTTATTAGTTAATGCCTATGAACTTTAAACTTCTAACATGCATTTTGTTTCGATTTCATTTGTGAAATAATTAAAGACAACTTGATTTTTATCATTCTACTCCCTAGCATAGCGTCACGTCCAAGATCTTACAACAAAGATTGATGCCCGTTGAAAGTTTAATTCAAACTTTTAATCAAAACTTGGCAAATAGGCAGAAGTGCAAACAAAAGATAACAAGTTTACTACCTAATACCATTGGTCCCTTTGAGAGTCTACAAACCCACGTGTGACAGGGGTATTGCTTGAGACCAATATTAACATATAACCAAAGTGGTTTTCTAAGTTTGGTAGACATAATTATAAATTTAAAAATAAATAAATGGATCTCATAGGTTCATTTTTTTTATTTTGTAAAAAGTAAATAATAACAACAAATAATGATACAATTTTCAAATGATGAGATGATATCTTTTGTTTTAAGTTTGCATCCCTGGAAAATGATGTTTCGAAATTGTCAAATAATGTAGATTCCATTAGTAAGTATTTTAGGATTAACTCATTGTATTATAAATGATTAACCTGCACAATCTATGTTTTAAGTATTAGCATGTTTACGTAATGTTGTGTGGTATAAAACCATGCTTGTTTTAAATAGATACTAGTAACCCATGTTTAGTTTTAACAGTAAACAACAATTTTAAAATAACCTATGTTGTTTACTGATGTACATTAGCTTTTTTTTTTTAGAGAATAGCAACCATTAAGATTATTTGAATGCTGAAAGTTTTTAATAAATGGATACGTTAGAAATGTATCAATAATATCTAAAGCATAAAGTACAAGGCCATGTGCACATTTAGAGGATCAGAAGTATAGGACATATTGTTTTAAAACGGCTTACCAATATAAGAGCTTAAGGAGGGCTATTGTCTAGATAGTACACAGCAAGTGGGGGGGGGGGAAGGATAATGAAACTTCAAACAGGAACATTTCCTGGATCACAGAGAAATTATATAAGACATGTATTACAATACACGCAGAGACACACAAGCAAACACATACACATAAACAAATAGAAAAAAACGGCACATAAAACCAGTCATCACTCAAACCGTATATTTCAACATATTATGAAATCTTGTGTTTCGGTCGTGTTGCGGCTAATAAAAAAAAAACACTAATAAAATGTTTTTTTTTTTCCTTATAGTTAGGCGATTAAATGATACTCGACCCCCCCCCCCCCCCCCCATCCTGCCATGTTTCAACTAACGGTTTATTTAAACTAGACTAGTAATACATCAAACTTTGGACACATAGTTAATCAGTATAAACATGAGTGTATCATTTTGTTTAATGTTATTCAAAACGAATGTTAAAAAAACAGGACAAGAAATTAAAACCCACTCAACTCTACAAGAAGATGGGAAGAAAAATATGGCCAACACTACAGATATGTTAGTAGCTTTAACTACAAAGGTAAGCTTTTATCAGTTAAGATTTTTATATTATTTTCTTTATTTAACTACTGATGATTATTTTATTTTTCCTTAAAATAATGTGAAATAGAAGATACTGTTCAGACCAAATACTTTGAATATTATTGTGTGTTCTCTTTAAATAAAAACAGGGTAGTTACTATTGTAAGGATGTAAGACAATTATGTTTCACATGTGTGATTTTTTGTACGAACATAATTTCTGATGCAATAACTTGTAAAGTGTAAGCACATTTTAGGTTGAAACTCGAGAAAGTGAAGCTTTAACGCCGTTGAAAGATTTTAAGTCTATTGGTAAGTTGATAAAATAAACATACACATAATTGTGAACAGACACACAGACACTTGTGCAAAAGTTTATGATTAACTAACATATACTTTCCAACAGGGACCCCGTGTATGTCAGCCTTACACCTGTTAAATTCACCTGGCCAAAAACACACCAGTAACTACTGGATCGATTCTTTCAACATTCCTTAGCGTCTGGGAACCTAACGGCAGTCAATTTAATAAAACCACAGGAAAGCTTGTAGCACCAGATGATGGTTTATATCTTGTGATTGTAACGCTGCACGAACGTGAGAATAAACTGATTAAAATATGTGTGTATAAGGATGACTCAGTGTATAAGAGGCTTTTTGTGAAATCTGCCAACACATCTGCCGCTGGATCAGCTGTTATTTACATAAAGAAAGGCCGAGAACTTTATTTTATAGTTGAACAAGCTGATGATGGAGCCATGCTACAACAAGGAAGCGGCATCACTTTTTTCCCTGAACATTAACGGTATATTCGTATATCACCTTAAATCGGAACGTAATTGGGCGTTAAACATGTTTTTTTCTTAATTATGTTTAATTAAATACAGTACATCAGTATAATTGTATCATTAAAGTGCATTAGCTCAAAAATCTACTCTGTGATAAATTTAAACTTATATTTGACTGAATAAATAATCCAACGTTTTAAGCTGTTTGGAACTTGATTTATACACTTTAGTTCCAATTTACAAACAAATTGTGGCTTCACTTAAACAACAATGTGCGACGTCATGAACACAAGTTGCATCTAAGATGCCTATTTTATGTGCACTTTGTACTGACCCGTTCTTTGGCTTAACATTTCTCTGCATTACACACAGTCAGCGTTGAGTAAATAACAAGCAAATAAGATGGGTCAACTATAAACCTCGGATCTCGGCCTTTTAAAATCTCAGTGGACGACCAATCAAAAGACGTGCCATCGATGGCCAAATTAAAAGTGTTGTCTTCACGCTGATAATTTCAAGTTTTCACAACCAAGAAATCCCCCCCCCCCCACCTTCTTGAAATTATGTGTTAGTGCAGTGCTCGCACATGAAGAAATTGACATTATATTACGATATGGTTTAGAGATGTTAGCTTATCATCTGTCTATGGTGAAGATAGGTTTCATACACATACTATTGCTAAAAGCGATACCACTTTACCTGGGTTTTTCTACAACACATGAGACAGCAATAAGTATTTACCAATTTACAATCACAACCAAATTTTATTAGGTTCATTGTGAATAATAAAAAATATGCTTCCAATTCAAATAAAAATGTTAAATTTGCAAAATAAAATTATATGTTTCAAGTATAGAATAATATTTATGATTGTCAAATCAGTTTTACTCTATCCATTTTTAATTATGTTCTTATTAAGAAATTAATAATGTTACAAATATACATTCTTAATATTATATACAGTAAAAGTAATGCTAGGTAGGGTTATAAAACAGTCATGTTATCTCCAGTGTATAAAGTAAATAATCCTCTTCATACCTAGCGATCCATTAAGCAGATGAAGTAGAGTTCTTGTGTTTCTTGACCTCGGCATTTGAAAATAAGTTTTAGTTATAGAGTTAGGTGGACATCAGAGCTAAGTGACCTTTGGGGCGCTCTACTGGCCTGGACCCGGAATACAAGCTAACATAACTATACATATAACACAATTTTAACAGATATAAAGATAGTTACATGGGTTTTGTGTGTTAATTTACTGATATAACGATACTTAATAAAAAAAAATAGGGGTTTTGTAATGTAGAAAAATTGTAGTCTTTTTTTTTAAATTTTAACGAATGTAATGATCACAATAACAGTTACTTCCAGTAGACCTATAGCAAAAACATTTTTTTCTTGACAAATTCATAATTTGGATTAGCTTTTTTAATAAGATAAATATTTAGTTTGTCTAGTAAACGTATTCAAGCCTTCGTCTTTTAAATAGTTAATTTTATTTGTGTCAAATTTTTAGATTTTAATTACATATTCAACAAGAACAATACGTTCATCTTAACACATAAAATGTAGGTATGCAAATCAAACAAAACATTTTAATCATACACCTAGCGCTCACATACAGAAAAGGTGATGGTGGCATTGAATTAGATGGAAATGTGTAATGCTGACTAAACAAATAACATATAAACCATTATAGTTGATGTAAACATGTAGTTTACATACATAATAAGTTGTCAGCGTGCGTTTAATATTCTGGTTACATATTTAATGTTTTGAGAATTTACCATCCACCATGTTTTGTGTTGTAGTTCTATAAACTAACGATAGTAAATCTACTGTACCATGATAAACCTGCGTTTTGATCTGCTCGAAACACTTTAAGGTAAATTTGTTGACCTTTCTTCATGTCAACAACCACTGACCCAGCAGCGCTATTGTCGGCACATTTCACTTCTATAAACATACACCACCTGCCTAGAGCCCACACACCAACTCCAATCCGTTTATCTTCCCTTTCATGTAGAGTGACACAGACGAGATATAAACCATCATGTGGTGATACAAATGTTCCTGTTGTTTTATTAAAATGTTGACCGTTATATTCACGTACTTCATGAAAAGTTGAAATGTTTGATCCAGCACTGACAGGTGTGGGATCAAGCGTCACATGACAAGCATATCTGTTACATACACGTGACTCTGTTGATTAGAAAACATATGTATGATGTACATAATTAATTTCACGAATGCTTTGACTGTTCGATACAAAATATTTGTATATTTGTGACTTGTCGTATCGTCAGTTTATGTTAATAACCCTAAATAAACTCATTATATGTGTTTTGTATGTAGTTAAAAATGTAAGGTAAAATGACAAACCCAAATAAATCACTAGATCCACTACATTAGTACGGCCCTATATTTTAGTGGTGTTAGTTTGTCGTGTCCTACGTATCAAATCTACGAGTGTAGTAGGGAATTAATACGAAAACAAAGGCATAACAAATATAATGGGTTTTTGTTAAAATCATACATTATGTTTTTGTTCACATTATATATTAATTATGTAAGGTTAATTTATCGAATTAAGAATTTATAGAACTAAAGCTATTCACTTGTAATTATGAAACTCAAGTAAAACCGATTACAAGATCTGCACCGTCAACCCATTGTATACTTATTTCACGTTACAGTAAACCAATTATATATTAAGATGTTACAAAAGTTTAAAAAAAATAAATGTTTTCAAGTATTAGTTTATTTCAGATTTAATTCTGACTCGTATGGGCATCGTCTTAAAAATAGAAACATAAAGGGATGACGTGACGTTAATTGGAATTAATTAATTGATTATATAGTTAACTTTTAACCGCATTTATGTAAATGTCTTTCTGTACTGTGGTAAACCGCCGTAGGTCGACCCACGACATACCAGGTGGTGTAATGTACCAGGTAAGGAAACAAACACCAGACGGAGACCCACGGGTCTAGAGACTGGCACTATGGGTGAGTAAAATGTTCCATTCTTTATCACGTTATGGTCTGTCTGGCTAACGAACATCACGTTATGATCTGTCTGGCTAACGAACATCACATTATGGTCTGTCTGGCTAACGAACATCACGTTATGGTCTGTCTGGCTAACGAACATCACGTTATGGTCTGTCTGGCTAACGAACATCACGTTATGGTCTGTCTGGCTAACGAACATCACGTTATGGTCTGTCTGGCTAACGAACATCACGTTATGGTCTGTCTGGTTAACGAACATCACGTTATGGTCTGTCTGGCTATCGAACATCACGTTATGGTCTGTCTGGCTAACGAACATCACGTTATGGTCTGTCTGGCTAACGCACATCACGTTATGGTCTGTCTGGCTAACGCACATCACGTTATGGTCTGTCTGGCTATCGCACATCACATTATGGTCTGTCTGGTTGTATGATTTTTTTTAGAAACGTACCGATTAGATTCAAATCTTTGGACAATTTTGAAATGGCATCTTCAATATTTTCCACCTAAAATATATATTTTATAAAATTAATGAAGAAGTCACATAGTTTCGTAGAACATACAATTGCTGCAATAACATTAACTTTGGTATGGCAACTTGTAAGAATAGAAAATAATTTAAAGCATGTTTTTGAACAGAGTGTTAATATTTAAATACCGGATTTATCAACGTCGCAATTTAATTTTTAATAAAATTACTATGCATATAGGCCTACCCTCGTTTTTCTTTCTTCCCTAGTTTCCAAGTTCTGGTTAAAGATTTGAATCAGTTTGTCAATGGGCATCAATCTCTGTTGTAGGAGTTTGTATATCACACTGTGCTAAAGAGCAGAAGATTCAATTAATGCATTTGAATTTTGATTATTTTTACTGCACACTAAAACTAACATAAACATGTGTTTTAAATCTAGTAATAATATAAAAGTATAACTGGCGATAAAGCTACTAAGTTGTGTTTTGATTTAACCAGGTTATTAAATGTAAAATAAGTTATCTGGCCAGTACGTGTAAAATTGTGTAGGCCCTACCCACATAATTAGCAATTTTACCTTTTCTAATTGAGCTGATGTATTCAGCATGTTTTTAGAACTCTCTTCTTGTAAGGCAGCAATCTGATTAGAAAGTCTTTTAATTTCTTGTGTTATACTATCAGTTTTATCTGTGTGGTCTTGCATATCTTTATTTATTTTGTGTAAGTTGTTTTCATATTTTTTCATATCTAGAGACAGTTTCTCTAGTGTTTTGTTTGACTTGGTTTCTTTTTCTTTTAAGCATTCAATTTCTTTGTTCAGCTCCTTTACTTTGTTATCTTGTTCATTAATTTGCTTTCTGAGGTTTTTAAAATTCTGCTTTTGTTTTTTAGTCAGTTGTTCAATGTTTACCCCCATGTCACTCTGTTCTGTTACAGAGTTGTCTCTCCATTGTTTTATTTCTGATATGTAATCTGTAGACTTGTCATTGAAGTCCTGTAGAGAAGATATGGCTGTCTCTATCTGCTCAAGTCGACTGACGTCTTGTAGAGAAGATATGGCTGTCTCTATCTGCTTAAGTCGACTCAATATTTCTATAGTAATACGTGATAAACAAATTAAATTATTTTACTTATTAATTTTGTTTAGTAAATCATAAATACTTTATTTTTAAAGAAGCTAAGACATATATGTTTACATCTTAAGATTTAGTTGTTTTAGTTTCTAAATATTCCATACCCGCTGTTGATTGAACGTGTTTAGTGACTTGATGTTTTGATTCACTATGGTCACGTTTTTCTGCTGCTAAAGAATGTGGTGTTGACTGAGATAATGATGGCGCATTATCCTCGACATCTACGTAGTCTTTATTTTCATCTTGGTGATGTAAATGAACAAAATAATGTTTTGTTACATATTGAAATAGTCGAATATGTATTTTTGTTGTTTGAATAATTTCTTTAGATGGAACTACTGTATTTATTTTTCATAGATCCTCAATTTAACATTATTACAATTATTGAAAAAAGCTTTACTTCTGATAGATGTAGATGCATTCAACAAACTCAATGTAGCTGCCTCTAGTTGCTGGCAAAGTTCGCTGTAGGTGAGAGGCGGGTTATCAATTTTATCTTCTATCCAAGTTTGACTTTTTTCTATAGCCTTGTATAAAAACATTTTTGAATGTACCGTGTATTTTTCTTTTGAAATTATTCCTGAACTACTTTTTTCTACTTAAGTTATTGCACTATTTAAAATGTATGAACAAATAACAATATGATTAATCGTTTACGTTTTTCATAATTTCCAAGACAGGTTTCAGAACTTGTATCTGTTCTTCCAAATATTTCTTATGCCGTACAACAAGTTCAAGGTGAATCCTGGGTCGCATCTAACAAAATAATTAAAAGATTTGGTCGAGATGTCAACTAATTAACTTGAAAAATCAGAAAACTGTAAACCAATTAAGAAAATCAAAATATTTACATTAAAATAATTTTAAAAAATCACATATAATTTACATTTTTAACATGGCTAAATAGCAAGCAAATTTATTGATAGACTTTTAATATGTGTTTATTTAGCACGTTATTCTACTATAAATTTTGAATATTATTATTTTTCTTCTCGCATGAAATTGCACTCTTTACATTTACATCCAACAAATGAAAATAAATGTGTCCATCCGGAAAATCAGCTTTTATGAAAAAAAATATTCCATTAATAAACATGGCCAGCAATACAAGAGTCGTAGGCTGCTAGATCTGTTTTTTTGCCGCCAACTAAAATATTTTGTCCAGGTAACAACCACGAATCTGTGTATTTAGTAGGTCATTCAAATTGTTTTATGTCGAAGAAACTATTATCTGATTATATAATCATGTTCCTCCATCTTTAACATATCTTAAAATAGGTACTATTTGTATTCGAAAAATTCAAAGTAAACGACACATTATATGATCCACAATTGAATACAGGTTTTATTACTAAATTAAGATACATGTATAATCTCTAAACCATTTGATCACACTTACTTTAATCTTGACTTCTGGTATTCTTTTGACGTGTAAGTAAAACGTTATCAAACTATTCCACTGCTTCTATCCTGCTCGTGAAACTGAAAGTAATAAACGGGAAATTCCGCTATTATCTATTACGTTGAAACCTCAGTATAAAGTACACAAAAACTCAAGGGACATAACTGTGGCTGCTCTTTTTTTTTTGTTGCAACAACACATTGAGTTAAAAGAAGGTAACATAAGATACTGTTTAATTTCATTACATATGCACTTACATATAAGCCTACATATGTGATGAATGTATATTGCTTATTATATGCAGATAGACGTTTATGGTTAAATTTTGTGTTAGGTCTAGAATTAGGTTAGGAAAATGAATAAGTCCAGTAAAAGTTCAGATATTATCAACTCATGAAGAGTTCACGTTAAAATAACTACTATCGAGAAAACAAATGAATGAGAGTTTATGACAGAATATTCAATGCAGAAGAAAACTAAATCCTGTTCGACATCATTATTCGTGTGGATAACGTGTGGTGGCTATAACCACAAGTCTTATCAGTGCTCGTTTGACGTCGTTTTATATCGAGATTATTCTACGTTAACGGTTGTTTTGTAACTAATGTGTAATCGAATAATATTTGCGTGATTCAGATATCATTCATTGTGGGCGTGTTGCCAGTTATGGTCGTATAGATATCTTTAATCGTGGTGTTGTGATTAGTTAACGGTCAATGATAAAACTGAAATAGTTAATTTTTATTATCAATGGTCCAGATGTACGTTTTTAGGGTGGAAACGATTTTAAATTGTATAATGATTATTCGCACTATATACTGAATTAGATCCGAAGCAAAATAGAGTTGTTATTTTTAAATTTCGTCTGTATAAGTTATATATTAAATCTACTTATGTTTTATTTTAAAATATGTCTACCCTTTACATTAAAAAATAAACTGAATTTTTTTTTTAGAATAATTTTATAAAAAATATGTAGGGTTTATTAAGTATTAAATGTTTCCTAACTTTTCCTGCATTTAGTACCTACAGTGGCGTAGCGAAGTCGGGTGTCACCCGGTGCGGCACAAATGGTGTCACCCACCAGAGGCGTAGCGACCTTTCCCGGGGACAAACTTTCGATTTGCACCCCCCCCCTCAAACTTTCGATTTGCAACCCCCCTTCCTCAAATTTTTCTCTATATATTTTGCTAATTTTTGCCTTGATGTCACCCCCTAAATTGTGTCAACCGGTGCGCTCCGCACCCCCGCCCTTCCCCCCACTTGCTACGCCTCTTAGAACCTATAACAGTTTTTGTTTTAAAACAAAAATTAAATTATAAAAACTAATTTAGCTGAAAGATACTGAAATTATTGGCCTAAGTATCAGGTTTGTTATTTTACGTAGTTCAGCTGTTATAATATCAGACCGTATTTTGAAATGCACATCTTACCATTATTACCTTAAATCCGAATTCTATATAAAACAAACTAGCACTAAAATATTTTCTACTTTATTATGACCTCTAGCAAATTGTAGTCACTTATCTGTTTCTGAACAAAAAAGAAAATAAATTTTATATATATATTTTTTAATGAACACGACTATTTATTTCGTATTTCTCCATTTGTAAAGAATGCAATCAACTTTTGTAAGGAATCACGGTTAGAATTTTCTCACTACGCACTTTATTAAACATTAAGATTGTAGGTAATAAAATATTTTAAGACGAAACAAATCAACGATTAGTACCCCGGTATCTGGTTACAATAATTGGCTACACTCAGGGACGCCTTTTCTGTTATGACATTAATACTAATAGTTTCGCTGTCTGTGTATCTATCTATCTGTGTATGTATGTATCTGACAAGAACGCTCTAGAGAAAACACAAGCAATTTAAAAACTTTCACAGCAAGACGGAAACGATATATGACGTCACATTTAGCATAATATAGTAGAAAATAGTTTCAAGCCGGAGAGTGCACACAGTAATATGACGTCAATGATTCTCGAGTAAACATTGAATTATAAAGGCAATTTTGTCTAATCTTAAAAGTGGTTTGCGTGAAGAGTTTCTTTCATACAATTCTTCGGGTATGGGCGAAGCCCATCCCCCGCGTAAGAACGTCTAAGCAGACCCCCCCCCCCCCCTCTTCCCCCAACTAAAAAAAAATGTCGTCATCGATATTCTACAATAAAATTACAGCCTAATTCATGTGTCTAATCTAAAAAGTGGTTTGCGTGAAGAGTTTCTTTCGTGCAATTCTTCGGGTAGTGGCGCGACACCAGTGTTTCTTTCAGACTTTTTCTCCCCGGAGTGAGTGTTTAGCGTGCACAGCTCTTTTCATGCATCTCTTCCGGTAGGGGCAAAGCCCCGCCCAGGTTCTTCCTTTAGTTTGTATGATCTACAAATGCGATCAGCATTTCTTTCAGACCTTTTCCTCCCCGGAGAGGGGTGGGGGTACTTGAAATTTTCGGGGGCGGGGGTAGAATTTTCTGGAAGAGGGCGGAAACTGAAAAAAGTATATAATTATATTTCGTTGAATGGGACGGTAGATATGTTTGGGGTGTGTGTGGGGGCGGGGGGGGGGGGGGGGGTTGGTTTGAGTTTAGAGAAAATAGACAGCACTATCAACCTAGCGCCCGTTGTATCCTTCCTCAACGGGCCATTTTTCTCGTCTCTTATATAGTCTGATACAGTCTTCTTCTTCTTCGTTCTTAATTTTTAGTCTTGGAAAGGATTGAGCCTTATCGGACAGAAGGTTCGAACTCGAATTTAACAACCATGAGCGTTGCCGACTTGACAAACACAATAAAGTATACAGTTCAACTGGTTTTGGATTTGCTTCCATAGCCTATGAACAAATTACAAGGCAGCAATTGTTTGCTTTTGGAGTTGTCTCTTCTAGAAAGCTAACAAGCCTCATTTGCCCGTATAAAGTCTAATCATGTTTGCTTTTCGATTGTGTTTGTATTATTATTTAACTACAATTTCTTCGTCGAGGTTATTTTTAAGTGGAGGTGAGATATGTTTAGAACAGTTGATGTTTTATTGTGAAACCCAACAGTTGATGTTTTATTATAAACAGTCTGTAAGCAGATCAGACATTAGGGAATGTTTTGGTAGATGCTAACTATACTTGTTAATTGCAAAAGTAAACACTTTCTTCACCTACAAATACAAAGCATACAAAACAGAGGAATTATGTTAGTAATTTAAATATGACATTGCCTGTCTAAGTTTATGTATGATAATGACATTGAGAATATCTATAAAAAATTCACTGAGTTAAGAAAACCTAATTTTAATTATAGCATTTTACATAAATTTAGATTGAGACATTTGATCAGATATTCTAAAACTATAAAGATCATTTTAATTACACCATTTTCTACGTGGCAGTTTACATTGAGATACTCTATCGAAAATTCAATGAGGTAAGAAACTTTTAATTTTATAATTTTGTAATTATGGACTACCCTGCTCACCAACATTAAAATTAGATCCGTACTTTGAACACCACACTGTGACACACAAAAGTATATATCATGTTCACAAGTTTGTGGACATGTGTTATATCATTTTTATGTTTTTGACTACACTATATTCTACACATTGTCTATGAACATTTTAGTAGGGTCATCAATATTGGTTTAATAATAGTAGATCTATTTATAAAGAATATATTCAAAGGGAATAATAAAAATAAATTAGTTTATATTTTCATACAGATGGCCGCATCGATTCCTATAAAGGAGCAATTAGCTCAATTGTTGAAAAATCTGGACGAGATGAATAGTTTGTTGAAAAATAATTTAAGTGACTTTGATCAACAGGTAAGCACATCTCATAGTACGATATATTCACAGAACATTAACTTATCTAGAATATTATTAAGCTGCTTATAAAATACAAACGCCTAAGCCTGTTACTAAGAGCTATTTATTATTTGTGTTGATTTTCTCTCATCATAACTGACACTGAATTTCAGGTATATAGTTGTTTTTAAATTTGGACTTATTTTTTATGCAAATTACAGTATGTCGCGAAAACGCGACATCGGGCACTTACGGACCGAACAGTAATTTTTTTTTTTACTATTTTTACTGTCACGTGTTTCTCTAAATATCCACGCACAAACAATAGAATATAACAAACTAAACATACGTACATGCAAGGAGATGTAGAATCACTTGCAAAATGTACGAAAACTATACTTTATTAGCTCAGGCATAGAGTTACATAACTCTGCTGCACCTGCTCACTGTCTAACTCTTATGAAAGGGTATTTCGAAGCCTTGCTGTCGTTGTTCTACTACACTTCAGTAACACACTTCATATGAAAGGACTTCCTTCAATGTGTAGAGCCTTAGTTGTCCCCGGTTACGTCATTTTCGTGAACTCTTATTCAATGTCAACTAATAAAGACGCATATTTCTCATTTGACCTATATTTGGTGTACACACAAAGCACGTGAACAAATATTGTCATAAATGACAGTGTTCAGCTTTTGTATATTCGTCCATGCTCAATGCAGCTGCTGTGGGTACTTAGTGTCACTGCTGTGGGTACTCAGTGCCACCGGTGTGGGTACTCACTGCTATTGTTGTTGGTACCCTATGTTTCTAATTCGTGCTACGGCTATTGTTCTCGACTGATTCTGATATTGATTACCAATGACAGTGCGGTAGCTACATAATGCCACTGGTATGGGTACTCAATGCTGAAACAGTGGGTACTGAGTGTTGAAGCCATGTGTACTGAGTGCTGAAGCTGTAGGTATTCACTGTTGAAGCTGTGGGCACTCAGTGTTACTGCAGTTGGTTCTTGATGTCACTGCTGTAGGTACTCAGCACTGCAGCTGTTGGTAAGTGATAACGTTGATGTGGATACTCAGCCTTAGCAGTGGGTACTCTGTATCACTGCTGAGTACTTAGTGCTCAAACTGTGGTTGCTCAGTGTCAATGATGCTGCTACTAAGTGCTGAAGATGTGGGTACTCAATACCACTGCAGTCGGTACTAAAAGCCAGTACAATGCAACTAATGTGGATATTCAATAGCACTGCAAAGGGTATGTTTGTCAGTATTCAACCTTACTGTGTTTATTACGAGGTGTATGTCTATGCTCAGTGTTATTATTGTCAAGGTCACTGTAATGACCTTTCTTTGGTGGTATCCAGGATAGTGGTCCACCACCTCACTTCCTGTTGTCTATTTATTTTTTTATGTTCTCATATTTTACAATATTATTTCAAAGCTAAATTCGTTATCTTGTACCCAGCAACATGATCACATTATCCCAGCATCGTTTTCTCTCCATATGCTAATGTCAATGAAACATGTGAACTCTACTTCACCTACCACATGGACCGTAACTTTCTAAAGTGCACATGTATATATAGACAAAGACTATATTGTAAATCTCTAACTTATTTATAATCTTACTTGAATAAATGACAGCTTGGCGATGCATCGTGTTTCGTTATACCTGTTTGGCACCCAAGTTCCATTTTATGTCTTATTGCCGGATGTCGCGAAAACGCGACAACCCGTAATTAGCAGATAACTTCAAAAATCATTATCATATGTGATTTATACTGTTTACATACATAAAAAGTGAATAATAAAGCTATTAGTATTTTTATAGCAAAAAAGAATCACCCGTTTAGTAACAATAATCAATGTAATTAGGCTGAATTCACGAAGTGAAAAAAATTACGATGCAGCAGTAGGATAAATGTACCTATGCACAAATGCTAAGCGCTAAATCGGTATTAAAAGTTAATGCATATATTTTTGCTAATGGGTGATATGAAATTTTATTTTCCATCCACATTCCTTCTGTAAATAGATGTATACATAGTAGTGGAATTACTTTAAACACCCAATCCAAAAATGATGAATATTTTGAATTTAGATTTTTTTTTGCTTTAAATTAAATAGCACATTAATATTTAAATATTTCAATCCACGTCTCTGTTATGTCATGTCTAGGAAAACAAGCAACACTAGAATGGCTGGATAATCCATCAGAAGCGAAAATAGATTTTAAAGAAGTGGTTTCTATGGAAACAACAGTAAATACTGCCCTATTTGAACTTAAGCAAACGATTTCTGGTAATATTATAATATGTAATAGTGTTTTACGTTTTGTTTTTATTTACTATTTATTTGATTAATAATTTAGAACGATTAAAAACAATTGACAAATACAGTAAAGATAACGATACATCACTAAACTTTAATTATTATACATTTTGTCTTCATTGACTACGTCGTCCGTTTAAAATACTTTCATCCTATGGATTGTAATATACATCGGTATATGTAAAAACTATTGTTTGTTTTCTAAAATTCAAAATATTCTTATTGGAATGATAACACATGGTTTAAAAGCCGTTTTAATATTTCGCATCCTTAAACCATATTTGTTACACATGTCTAACAGTTTCCTGCACCAAGTATCAAGCAATGGCTGCTGGAGATAAGACAACACAAGAGAATAAAAGTGTTGACTCTGTACACGATGGAAATTATTCTGATCTTTCTATGTCAGGTAGAACTTTAATTTTGCTTAGATAAAATAAAAATAAAAGGTAAATAATTGTAAAACGTTATTGTGATACGTTACGTAATGTTTTTATAAATAAATAAATAAATAAATAAATAAATAAATAAATATATATATATATATATATATATATATATATATATATATATATATATATATTTATATATATATATATATATATATATATATATATATACAGCAATGCACCAATGCTTCATTGCATGCATTAGAATATGTTAACATAAACACATTTTACAAGTTGCAGCTGATTTTAGTAACAAACTAGAGCAGAGAGTAGAACGACTTGAAACAACGCTAACTTCTATGCAAAGTAGTAATAAAAAAACTGAAGCTGACGTGACCGAATTAAAACAATGGAGGGACACTTATAAAACAGAAGAAAGTAATATGAAGGAACACATAGAACAAATGGCTTTAAAGCAAAAACATAATGCTAAGCAATTCCGAAAGCAAATTAACGAACAGAAAAATATAACGGATGAGATGAATGAAGAATTGAAACAATTGAATGAAATAAAACAATGGAGGAAAACACTAATATCAGAACATAACACTATGAAGAAATATTGAAGAATTGTCTAAGACACTAACAGATAATAAAGAAAAGACTGGAGAGCAAATACAAGAATCCACAACCAGAATAAATGAGTTGAATACAGAAATTAAGACCCTGAAAGAAAAATAATCAAATACAAGCCAAACACTGGAAATCACGAATACAGAGATGAACAAGTTTGACATAATATTGAACAAAATAAATGAAGAATTAGAAATTTAAACAACTAAGACAGAGAAATTACAAAAAGAAATTAAATGTCATTCTGATGTTTTATCTCACTTGAGGGAGGAAGGAAATAAAAACAAAAATATGGAAACCAAAGTAGAAAAGTTAATGTCAATGGTTTGTAACTATTTTATCTTTTGAACACATATTTTACTTTTTTAATGTGAATTTCTTGGTTTGTGTTGTATTAGTTGATAGCTAAACACTTTAATAACTATCACACTTTGTCTTGATTTCATTTGCCAAAAATGTTAAGACAACATGATTATATTAATCTAATTCTAGCATAGCGTCACTTTCAAGATCCTTAACCAAAGATTGATGCCCGTTGAAAATTTAATTCAAATGTTTAATCAAAACTTGGCAAATAGACAAATGAACAAACAAAAGGTAACATAATTAGAACGTAATGGGATTGGTCGTTTTGAGAGTCTACTAAACCCGTTTATATTCCAACATGCTCTCCTGACAAAAGCGTTGTTTTAGACCGATTTAAATATATTAACAAAGTTGTTTTTGTTCTATTTTAGACCTAATTACAACATTAAAAAATAAAAATAATTACACTTCTTAAGTCCAAATGTTGTTTTTGTTTGTAAATTTTGTAGAAAGTCAATTTTTAAAAAATGATGATACAATTTTTATAATGACCTGATGTAATCTTTTGTTTTAGCTTGCAACTTTGGAAAATGATGTTTTAAAATTGTCAAGTGATGTAGATTCAATTAGTAAGTATTTTATCATTACAGCCCGTACATGAATTATTAATATCCTGGATTTCATCTACTTTAGGTATAGGTATGTTTACCTAATGTTTTCTGACATAAAACCATGATCGTTTTAAATAGATACTAGAAATTCACATTCCGTTTTAGGAGTAATTAATAATTTTAAATTACCTATGTCGTTAATCACGACCAGTTTACTGGTGTTTTCACGTGTTATATTTTATAGTGGTCAAAGTTATTTAAAGGACAACAACAAGCCAGTTTATCAACGCTGAATATTTTTAAATAAATTGATAAGTAAGGAATATATTAATAATAATTATTGCAATCCGTACAAGCTAAATTGCTCATTTAGAGAAATAGTTGTATAGGACAAATTGTTTAACAAATGGACTCATGGTACAAGAGTTTAATGAGTGCTATTGTCAAAATAGATTACATTAAGTGGGTTGCCCACGAAAAAAATACTTCAAACAGGAACATATTTTCATGGAGCACATACACATACATACAAAAACACAGAGAAACACACAATCAAACACACTCTTACGCAAATATAGAAAGCGGAACAGAAAAACAGTCAATGTCGCTCTCAAGTCAAATAGAGACAAAGCTAACACACATTAAACCATAAGTTTCACATACTATGAAATATTTCAAGTGCATCTGTCCTGTTGCTGCTAATATAAGAAAAACAAAAAAAAAAGTATGTAAACCTCAGGTGATTGAATTATACTCTCCCATTTATTCTTTAGCATTTATGCCACAACTCCCCCACCCCTTCATGTTTTAACAAACGATAGCTGAAACTGAATTTATACAATTAAACACAACAAAAGTAGGACACATAGTTAAGCAGCAATAAACATGAGAGTATCATTTTATTTAATGTCATTGATAACGGATGTTAAAAACAGGACAGGACATCAAAAGCCACTCTGCTCTGATATTAACTCTACAAGACGAAGGGAAGAAAAATCTGACCAGCACTACAAAATTGATAGGGAATTTAACTACGAAGGTATCATGTCGTTAGTTACGATAGATATATTAATTTCTATATTTAAATACTGATGATTATTTTAAACTTGTTAAAATAATGTGAACTAGTATTTGGACAAATTAGTTTGAATTTTTTTTTTTGCGTGCTAATTAAATAAAAAATAAAGTGTTAACTATTTTAAGAATGTAAGACATTCATGTTTTACATAAATGAGTTTTTGTACGAACATAATTTCTGATGCAATATCTTATAATGTGTACACATATTATATGTTGAAACTCGAGAAAGTGATGTTTTAACGCTGTTGAAAGATTTGAAGTCTATTGGTAAGTTGAATAATAACATAGACATAATTATGATTAATCATGATTAAACTCTAATTTATACTTTTCAACAGAGACCCGGGTATGTAATCCTTACATCTGTCAAATTCACCTGGACAACAACACACATGTAACTACTGGATCAATTCTTTCAACATTCCTTAGCGTGTGGGAATCTTACGGCAGCCATTTTAATAAAACAACAGGAAAACTTGTAGCACCAGATGATGGTTTCTATCTTGTGATTGTAACGCTGCAAGAATGGCAAGATAAACTGATTGAAATCTGTGTGTACAGGGATGACACATTTTATAAGAGCATTTTTGTCAAATCAGCCAACACATCTGCCACTGGATCAGTTGTTGTTTACTTGAATAAAGGCCAGGCGCTTTATTTTAAAGTGGACCAAGCTGATGATGAAGCCAAGCTACAAGGAGGAAGTGGCTTCACTATACTTAGATTGTAAATTTAATCATGGTTATGAAATAAGTAGTTTTTCATTTATTTCACACCACATCAATTTCGATTTTTTAAATTATCCAATGTGTCTATATTGTATGCATGTGCATATCGTTTCAATAGGTAAGTTTCGCTGTTTCTGGCAATCATATTATAGAGAAATATTTGAACATACTGAATTATAATCTACACTTCATTTTTGGAAAACAAATGGTTTGATTTTTTTTTTCGGTTGCATTTTAAATACATACAATTAAACATACAAAGAGTTTGTGTTTCAGTGTTGTAACATAAATTAATGTTAAGATAATATAAAGTTGCTATGCTTCGCATGCCATCGTGAAATGAACATATACATAGTAAAATATTATGTCTTGTCAATTCAGTACGTTCATGTAACATATGCTTGTCGCATATAGCTTTCAGCACCACTTTCCGTCATGGTTTAATCTTGTCAAGATTTAAAGATGTACATGAATATAATGGTCAAAACTGTAATCAAACAATAAGATAGTTTATATAAGTAAACGAGAAAGTAAAACTTGTCCAATTAATGCAATTGAACAATGTTGTTTTTTTTTTAAAAATAGACTAGTTTTTAATTAGTTTTAGTAGTTTTTTTTACATGCTATAGAACGCTTTAGGATATGGGTTAGTACGAAAGTAATATATTTATATGTGTAGAAATAAACGCATACATACGTTGCAAAATGTTATTTTAAGACGTAAGAAAAAATAAGATGGGCGAAATATAAACCTAGCCCTATTAAAATCTCAGTATCCGCCTATGTAAAAGTTCAACATCCAGGTCCCTACATCCATTCCTGTATAATTTTTCATATGATTTTATATAAAATGAACATGTATGAGTGTATGTTAATTTTGACCTTGTGAAGTGTTTAAAGTACCCACCCGATCTGTCTTGATTAGAGATGACGTAGTTGACTCTCACCCGAAATCCAAACCCGACACATTCCGGTTATCACATGACATACCACACGACCACACCGTTCCAATGTTAAAGAATGAAAAGGGTAACGGTCGACTTCAGCCTAGGTGTGCGTTACTTTAATTTGTGTTTCCACACGAGATGCTACAAATGGATCTTTATGTTATAACTGGGGTCTATGTTACACAGCAGTTATGCAGTGAGAGGGTACTCAATACCATTATGTTCCTCTCTAACCATTCAGTATTTATTTCTAGAGTTTAAACATAGAACATGACGACATTAACGTAGATATATGATTCGACAGGATGACAGCAGTTCACTTCAATATTTTTTACACTATAAAAATACATAGGACGGCTTGAACAAACGATACTGAGACTTGGCTACACTACGTTCTCACCCTAATACATATTCATGCGTTAATTATATCTTTCGCACCAATATTCGTTCGCATTAACACGCCTGATCAAACAAACATCATAACACTTTACTTGAGGCTAAAAGTGAAAATTTTACTATGTAGCTGAATTTTAAATTCAGTTTCTTTTTCACCTAAATTATGTTTCTGCTATGTTATTAATTAGAATAAAATTATCTACTATAGATCGAAGTTATAAAATATACCTCAATTACAGCTTTTAGTTAATTTTGTCGGCAAATGTGAACATTCAAAAACAAAATGTCGACGATGTTTGTGTTATTGTCTGTTTAAAAACATCGCTATTTATACTGCCACTTGATGGTGTATTCCATCTCATTGCATCACGGACTACATGTACATAACCTGTTATCTGTGTATTGACATATAAAAACATTCAAGATAAATCTTCCAATCTAACCCTGCCCTATCACATGTCGATTATAAAGTAAGCAGTTGGGAGTTGGAATACAAGCTGACATAACTATACATACAACACATTTTTAACACAATTTTAAGATATATATAGATAGTAATATGGGTTGTTTGTTAATTTACGGATACAACGATACTTAATAAAAAAACAATTGGGGTTTTTAATGTAGAAAAATCTTTTTTTTAATTGAACGAATGTAATGATCACAATAATAGTTACTTACAGTAGGTCTATAGCAAGATCATCTGTTTTTCTTGACAAGTGCCTAATTTGGATTAGCTTTTTTAATAAGATAAATATTTAGTTTGTCTAGTAAACGTATTCAAGCCTTCGTCTTTTAATAGTTAATTTTATTTGTGTCAAAGTTCTAGATATTTTAATTACAGATTCAACAAGAACAATACGTTCATCTATAACATAAAATGTAGGAATGCAAATTGAACAATATATTTTAATCATACACCTAGAGCTCACATACACAGAAGATGATGATTGCATTGAATTAGATGGAACTGTGTAATGATGACTTAATAAACAACATATAAACCATTTTAGTTTGTGTAAGCATGTAGTCTACATTCATAATACGTTGTTAGCGTGTGTTTACTATGTTGGTTACATATTTTATTGTTTTGAGAATTTACCATCCACCATGTTTTGTGTTGTACTTCTATAAACTAACGATAGTAAAACTACTGTAGCCGGATAACATTGCGCCTCGCTCTGCGTAATACATTTTAAGGTAAAGTTCTTGACCTTTCTTCATGTCAACAACCACTGACCGAGCAGTGCTACTGGCGGCACGTTTCAGTTCTATAGTCGTACACCACTCGTCTCCAGCCCACACACCAACTCTAATCAGTTGCCCTACACATTCATGTAGACTGACACAGACAAGATATAAACCATCATGTGGTGATACAAATTTTCCTGTTGTTTGATTAAAATGTTGACCATTGTATTCACGTACTTCACTAAATGTTGAAATAATTGATCCATAACTGGCAGGTGTGTTATCAGCAAGCGTCACATGACAAGCATATCTGTTACATACACGTGACTCTGTTGATTGGAAAACATATTTATCATTTACATGTTTGATTTCACGAACGCTATTTGACTATTTGATCCATTCTATTTTTAAATTGTCGTTTCATTAGTTTATGTTATTAACACTAAACATAAACTCCTTATATGTGTTTTGTACGCAGTATATAATGTAAGGTAAAATTGACAAACCCAAATCAAACATTTATTTTTCAGAAAATAAACTAGAATCCATAGTTTACATAACTTTATCAAAGACCATAAATTGAAACCCTAGACCAGTATACAAAACGTACAACAAATGTTATATACTGCTATGCTAATACCGGGTCTACGATACATTCTCGAACAACACTCGACCAAATGCCGTTTGCCCCAAGGTCGATTGACCTAATGCGACAAATATCCGAATGGACATTTGTTCATATCAAATAGACATTCTTAATCAATTCAAGTTTGACATTTTGATAACACAGTTCTGGGCTTAAAAAAACAAATTTGTTTATCTGTTTTTAAAAATGCGTATACTATTAAAATTTAACATGTAATGTATGAAAATTGAAAAATTGCTGTAAAAAGAACAACATTATTCTTTAATAATGTAATGCTATGTTGGCGGCGGTGTATTTATACTCTCTGGATGTAAGTTTTGAAAACCTTGTTTAGCCGATGTGCTGAGGCGGTTATACAGCACATATGACACGGTGTACGCGGCGCGGCGTCTCGCAACATTGAACAGAGGCGCATTTAATTGATTTATCGTTTTATGCTTAGCTTGTAGGGTGATCATTTACAACAGAACGAGGCACGGTCAAGGCAGCGAATTTAAAAACTGAAGGTAGTCTATTATATTTGATTTTCAATTAATGCACCTTGTTTAGATAATGTGTTGAAGCTATTACTTAATACATAAAGTGAGAATCATTTTTAAAAAACTCAGATAAGTGAAAATTATATTTTCGTCTTGTTTTATAGATAGCAAAAGATGTAGGTCCTACACTTTCAATAATATAGCAAATACTAACGAATTCATAATGGCTGCTTGCAGATATTAAATAGTATTTTGTTCCCTTTCAATCTGGTTACGACATTTATTTGATTATCAAAATTTCAAATTTAAGTTGATTAAGGATGACTATTTGGTAATCTGTAATGTTACCATTTTCCGGGCAAACGGCCTTCGGGTAAGTGGATTTTGGGCATTTGTCCCATTCGGGCAAGTGTCGCATTCGGGCAAGTATCCATTCGGGCATTTGTCGCATCCGGCAAGTGACCATCCGGGTAGTTTAATTGTATATGGATTATCTATTGAAACAAGAATTACTAGAACTAAAGTTGTTCTGTTGTACTTAATAATGACCGAAACAAGAGCTGCATATTCTACCTTTTGTATTTTTCATTTCAGGTTACAGTCAATTAATGAGATATTAAAATGTTTAAAATGCGACAATTATAAATGTTTTCAAGTTATTATTTTATTTTAGATTTAATCCCTGTCTCTAATGGGGCATCGTCTTAATATTAGAAACATAAAGGGATGACGTGACGTTATTTGAAATTAGTTTACTTAAACTTCAGCTCTGTAAATATCGAACGGTACTGTGGTGGACCGCTGTAGGTCGACCCCCGACTTACAAGGTGGTGTAATGTACCAGGTGGTGTAATATACCAGGTGGTGTTATGTACCAGGTGGTGTAATGTACCAGGTGGTGTAATTTACCAGGTGGTGTAATGTACCAGGTGGTGTAATGTACCAGGTGGTGTAATGTACCAGGTGGTGTAATGTACCAGGTGGTGTAATGTACCAGGTGGTGTAATGTACCAGGTGGTGTAATGTACCAGGTGGTGTAATGTACCAGGTGGTGTAATGTACCAGGTGGTGTAATGTACCAGGTGGTGTAATGTACCAGGTGGTGTAATGTACCAGGTGGTGTAATGTACCAGGTGGTGTAATGTACCAGGTGGTGTAATGCACCAGGTGGTGTAATGCACCAGGTGGTGTAATGTACCAGGTGGTGTAATGTACCAGGTGGTGTAATGTACCAGGTGGTGTAATGTACCAGGTGGTGTAATGTACCAGGTGGTGTAATGTACCAGGTGGTGTAATGTACCAGTTGGTGTAATGTACCAGGTGGTGTAATGTACCAGGTGGTGTAATGTACCAGGTGGTGTAATGTACATGGTGGTGTAATGTACCAGGTGGTGTAATGTACCAGGTGGTGTAATGTACCAGGTGGTGTAATGTACCAGGTGGTGTAATGTACCAGGTGGTGTAATGTACCAGGTGGTGTAATGTACCAGGTGGTGTAATGTACCAGGTGGTGTAATGTACCAGGTGGTGTGATGTACCAGGTGGTGTAATGTACCAGGTGGTGTAATGTACCAGGTGGTGTAATGTACCAGGTGGTGTAATGTACCAGGTGGTGTAATGTACCAGGTAGTGTAATGTACCAGGTGGTGTAATGTACCAGGTGAGGAAACAAACACCGGACGGAAACCCACGGGTCTAGAGACTGGCACTATGGGTGAGTGAAATGTTCTGGCTAACGAACATCACGTTATGGTCTGTCTGGGTAACGAACATCATGTTATGGCCTGTCTGGATAACGAACACCACGTTATGGTCAGCCTGGCTAACGAACATAACGTTATGGTCTGTCTGGCTAACGAACATCACGTAATGGTCTGTCTGGCTAACGAACATCACGTTATGGTCTGTCTGGCTAACGAACATCACCTTATGGTCTGTCTATCTAACGAACTTTGTTTAACAAGTGGTTATGTCCGTGTTATAGAAAGGAAGAGAGTAAAAGATTTAGATATAATTTGAGAGATTGAGGTTGGAATATTGAACGAAGGTAATAAAACGTATAAAACATTTACCAATTTGTAACCATTATGAATAATGTTATAGCTTTTACTATTATGCACTTAAAAGATAAAATCAAAAGTTAGATTTCCCATTAAATCTACCATTGTTATGTAAATAGGTTTTACATTTTTTTTAAACGTACCGATGAGATGAAAGTTGTTGATCAACTTTGAAATAGTATTTTCAAGTTCACCCAGCTAAAATGAAATAAAATAAATAAATAAAATAATCGCTATGATGTGGGACTGGCCCGCTAATTTAAAAAAATAATGTCAACTTGCTAGAATTTAAAATAAATCAAAATATTTTATTATTTTATTAAAATTATTTTTCTGTAAATTAAAATAAATAATGGACATATTATATAGACTAATAACAGACTTTTATTGACTAATTTGGGATTTATCAGTGCTCTGGATTATTTTAATACAATCATTACAAACATACCTTATTTATTCGCTCTTCCCTAGTTTCCAAGTTCTGGTTAAAGATTTGAATCAGTTTGTCAATAGGCATCAATCTTTGTTGTAGGAGTTCATACATAACACTGTGCTAAAGACCGACAATCATAATTGAAGATTCATACATTTAAATATTTATATTGTATATTAAAACTTACATAGCATTTATATAAAAGTTATGATCATATGTTAAGTCAGTCGACTGCCTCTTAATTAAGAATTTGAAGTTAATTACCTGGCAAGTAAGAATAGATCTTTGTAAAAATAAGACTGCAATTTTAAAATTTACCTTTGATTGCAACTTTTCAAATTGGGTTGATGTTTTGACAATGGTTTTATTATTTTCATCTTGTAAAGAAACAATCAAATCAGAATGGCTTTTAATTTCTTCTTTCATACCGTCTCTTACATCTGTATTTGCTTGCATCTCTATATTTATTTTGTGTAATTTGTTTTCATATTCTTTCACATCTAGAGAAAGTTTCTCTAGTGTTTTGTTTGACTTGGTTTCTTTTTCTTTTAAACTTTCAATTTCTTTGTTCAGCTCCTTTACTTTGATATCTTGTTCACTTATTTGTTTTCTGAGGTTTTCAAAATTCTGCTTTTGTTTTTTAGTTAGTTCTTCAATGTTTACCGTCACGTCACTCTGTTCTGTTACAAAGTTGTCTCTCCATTGTTTTATTTCTGATATGTCATCTGTAGACATGTGTTGTGTGACCTGTAGTGAAGATAGTGTTGTTTCAATATAGGCGAGTCTACGCTCTAGGTCAGAATGCTCTTCAACTGAGAATAGTCACAAATATAAGTTTGTAATTTTAAAGGAATGAAATTTTGAAAAAATAGGTTCTTTATAAAATAAACCGGGAGTGATCTCCCCTAAACTTTCTCGAATATTCTTATATAAAATAACAGGCGATGGGAACTCGGGCTATAGACATGATTTTTAATCCATTTTAAATACTTAAAAGTTTTAAAAATAGAACAAAATCTCGTAGACAAAAAATTGCACATCAAGTGAACGCCAAATAAATAAACCGGGAGAGATCTCCCCTAAACTTTCTCGAATATTCTTATAAAAAATAACAGGGGATGGGAACTCGGGCTATAGACATGATTTTTAATCTATTTTAAATACTTAAAGTTTTAAAAATAGAATAAAATCTCGTAGACAAATTAATTGCACACCAAGTGAACGCTAAATAAAAAAGTGCAAAAGATGTTCATAATGGTGCGCAATATTATTAGTACTTTATAAATTTAGATGCGTTTTTGAGAAATCGGAAGTAGCGTAAATTAGTACTTCCCTTCAACGGAAATTACTCAAAATTTAACAGAAGGTAGAGAATTAGATCTTTTAATTACATGTGAAATTTCATTTAACTATCTGAAATAGTACTCAAGTTATAGGCTTTTGAAAAATTCAAAGTAGAAAAAGTACCGATTCCGGTTATCGGAAATCGCTCAAAAGTTGATACGGATCTACGATTTTGATAAAATACTTATATATGAAATTTCATCAACCTAGCTGTAACGGTACTCAAGTTATCGTGTTTACACACACACACACACAGACACACACACACACACACACACAGACACACAGACATACGGACAAGATTGCAAAATTATGTTTTTCCGTATCAGTGAGGTGTAAAACGTAGAGATTTGTAAAAATCTCGATTTTTTTTTTGCACGATTACAATACTTTCTCTATACTACGTATATACGAGAAAGTAAAAATGCATAATAGTGCGCAATAGTATTAGTACTTTATAAATTTACATGCGTTTTTTGAGAAATCGGAAATAGCGTAAATTAATACTTCCGGTCAACGAAAATTACTCAAAATTTAACAGAAGGTAGAGAATTAGATTTTTTACTTACATGTGAAATTTCATTTATCTATCTGAAATAGTACTCAAGTTATAGGCTTTTGAAAAATTCAAAGTAGAAAAAGTACCACTTCCGGTTATCGGAAATCGCTCAAAAGTTGATACGGATCTACGATTTTGATAAAATACTTATATATGAAATTTCAGCAACCTAGCTGTAACGGTACTCAAGTAATCGTGTTTACACACACACACACACAGACACACACACACACACAGACACACAGACATACGGACAAGATTGCAAAATTATGTTTTTCCGTATCAGTGAGATTTTTTTTTCACGATTACAAGACTTTCGCTATACTTCGTATATACGAGAAAGTAAAAATACACAACAAAATTAAAGTATTTTTCTTTTTTTTAAATTAAAAAGTATCAAACCGTACAGGATTTAACATTGTATACGGCTTATGATCCAGCTATTATTAACTATTTATACGAAACAAAACTAAGACATACTCGATGTATATTTGTCTTGTGTGATGAGTTGTCTTGGTGATTCTACTGTTAGAAATGTTGCTGTTGTCTGTGTGTCAGGCTGTGGTAAAGATGGCGTTGGTTTCTTGACATCCTTGTTGTCTTCATCTAAGGGATTTGGGTTTAGAATTTTATTATAGTTACATTTTAAGGAATAACGTTTTATTGTAAACACAGTATTTCTAAAGACTTTAGCTAGTTTATAATACGCTGCAAAGTGTTTTAATTTTTTACAGTAAATTTTGTAAAATTTAGGAAATCAAATTTCATTGAAATTTTTATTCGCTAAAAAAACCAATCTCTTCCTTCTGTTAAATTATCCAGGTCTACATATTTACATACTAATTTATTTTAAATTGATTTACATACTAATTTATTTTACATTGATTTACATACTAATTTATTTTAAATCGAACTAATAAGTGTATACTGAATTTATAAACTGAAAGAGTAACATTAATTTTAAACCAAGGCGTTTAAAGAAAAATCACAAACTATTCTATTAAGTTATTGCTATCTAACGCTCTATATGAATAAATGAAGTACAACTGTTGATTATAGATTTTACAAGCTAACCATATTATAAATTACACAATTGATTAAAGAATAGTTGTTGGTATATGTCAATCTCTAAGAAAAAAATATGTTGTGTTATAGTGGATTGAGAGTGATATCATATCCTTTAACATTAGTATGTCCCATTTCTTTAAGTTAAATTGTAAGAGGGATTTTTGCATTTTTCTCGGACCAAACGCTTACTCTACTTGACAGAAGGGTTAGAGATTTTAAATTTTAAAGTGAATTAAAAAACTGACCAGAAATATGTGACGTCACATCCAACAAGGCCGTGGCTGCTGTGTCCAGTTCTTGTGATAGCTCGATGTAGCTGACAGATGATTGGTCAGTTTTTTCTTCTAGCCACGCCTTACTTTTTGCAACAACCTGGTGATCACAAACGTAAACATTATTTCAACTGGCCAGGTTTTGTATGGCTGTTTTATGAGAAAACGTCAAACGTAAAACACTTACTACCGTCTAAATGTTAATTTGATGGTTTTCAAATATTACAAAGTAAATCAATTTTGAATCTTTTAATATATATATATATATATATATATATATATATATATATATATATATATATATATATATATATATATATATATATATATATATATATATATAATTTAATAAAGCTAGTTGGAGAAGTTAATTTTACTTTTGGAAAAAGTGTTTAGAAAAATAAAAGAAAAAAATTGTTATAACACAACAGTGTTACAATAATCTTTTTAAAAAATTAGCAATTGATTTTAGATGTTTTAAACTTACATTTTTCATAAAATTAATAACAGGTTCCAGAACTTGTATCTGTTCTTCCAAATATTTTATCTGTTCTGTAACAACCTTGACCTGAATTCGTGTGGGCATCTGGTTTAAAAATAGAATCTTCACTTATTACATTTTTTTGCTTGTCGCTTTAGTCAATGTGATAGACAATAGAGAACAGAGACGTTTGGTTTACTGAAAATTGTTTGTCTGTTTTGCTTTGAACGGACTTGTTGCAATAATTCATATTTTATTGAATATAATTACACAGGTAAAATAAGAGTAGTATGATGTATAATCGTGTTACGGTCGTTGATGCAGAGAGACAAGTGCAAATATCTGTAGATCTGCAGACACGTGCGCTAGCACCTGTGCAAATATACATGTACACCCTTCTCCCCCCTCCACCTACCGTATGACGGCTGCAACACAGCAAAAAAATATCAAGGTGTGACCCCAGAGTTGCACGATTTAGGTAGAAATGATTTTGTTTGCAGTTTATAACTAAATATAAAGATTTAAATACATATTTATATAGAAAGTAAAAAAAAATGTAAAGTACTTTGGTTATTTTTTAAGATTTTAGGGATACTTTTCGTTATGAATACTATATTTGAGGGGAGGCGCGTTGTCCAGAACTTTTTTCTCGGGTATTTGTTAGCAGATACGACTGGCGTCGAAGTAGATACTTTAAGTGCGGTTATTTTACCCGTGTTAACAATGTAAACAACGATCTCATTTTGGTTGCCGCCTGCGTTTGAAAACATAAAATACATTACACTTTAACTACGTATCGAAACTTGTCAAATGTTGTCTACTTGACTTAAACTGAATTGAAAATACAAACCATGCGATAAATAAAATGACAACAAATCACATCGATAGTTTTACAAAACTTTCTTAGACGAATTATATTTTTAACGCAGTCATTGCAGCTTTTACCCTCTCTACGAAACGCTATTTTTTTCATTAAATAATTATCTATTACAGGGGTTAAACATGTTATTATATGAAAATATTTCTTGTGTATGTATATGTTACTTAATTAAAGGGAGAAAGGCGAAACTGAAAGTTCCTAACGGGAAAATCCGCTATTATAAAAATATTTTCTTTCAGGTTATAAGGATGGCGACAACACAAGACACGTAATAGAGCGGCTGTCTTGCCTTCAACTAAAAACTTTAATTCCTTTAACAACTATTTTATTATCTAATTATCTGTAGTAGGTGCAATCTTAATACTTTCACAACTATCTTAAAAGAAATAGAAATTAACGTATATTTTTAAAATTATTTTTAAAAAATATTACGCTTCATGAATATATTATATATTTAATAAATAAAACATACACTTTTCTACATGCTTTTATGTTTATTGTTATCAGTATTGTATACATAATTTTAATGTTATGTAAATTGTATGTTTACACTTACTTCAAAGATAACTGCAGGAAATTTTACAGCTAGAAGTAGATCTAAAATCGTTCTGCAAACATTCGGCAACAGCTACGCTGTTCATGAAACCGAAATAACTGAACGGGAAATCCCGTTATTATCTAAAGAGTTAACGTCACGTTCCAAGGGACAGAACTGTCGCTGTTCACATTTATCTTCGCTAGAACTCTTTAAGGTAACTCACAATATACAGAAGTGGAACTATCATACCGCAAAGGTGGGGGGGGGGGGGGGGGGGCAGATTCCGACCAAAAACAACAAATATATTTTTTGCACCTTTTTTAACATATCTACTACAGCACTGGTTGTTTTTCAGTATGTAGCACACACTGTCGCATAGAGAAAAATCTAGATTAGCTACGGTTTGAAAGTTTGACAAAACTTCAAACCACTTCCATAACTTACCACTCCGCTTTAAATAGTATAATAGGGGTGTCAAAAGTTAATGTGTCTAGTTTTGTACTAAACAAAAAGCTTTTTTTTTTACTTAATTACCATTTAAATGAGAAACAATAAAGACTGACACAGACATGAAAATGATATTTGTTTTACATCTTTTTGTTACTAAAGCTTGTATTAGAGAAAGCAAAGTAATTTTTTTTAAACGGCCGGGGGGGGGGGGGGGGAGTGGGGGGAGGTCTCCGTGCCTACTGCTGTTACCCTTATTGTAAACCCCAACAGTTAACGTTTTATTGTGAACCCCAATAGCTGATGTTTTATTGTGAACCCCAACAGTTGATATTTTATTGTGAACCCCAACAGTTGATATTTTATTGTGAACAGACTGTGAGCAGATCAGACAATACGGAATGTTCTGGCAGATGCTAACTATAGTTATTCATTCCACAAGTAGAGGCTGTCTTCACCTAGGAAAAAAAAGCATACACAATATAGACATTATTTCCATCAATAATTTAAACTTCACCTTGCATGTCCCATTTTATGATTTATTTCATTAAGATATTCGATCAGAAATTCGCTGAGGTAACAAAACTTAATTTTAATTATATCACTTTGTATTTATGCACTACCCTGCTCACCAACATTAAATCAGATCCCTCCTATAAACACCAACCTAGTGACACACACATACACGTTAATCTTGTTGAGTTTTTTCCTACCTACACTGTTAAATGTGAAACAGAGACATTTTTTTAAGTCGCATCTTTACATGTGACGTGTTAAGACAACTCTGATTAGCTATAATTGTTGTTGGTGTTAATTTATTGTGCTGGATACAACTAACGAATCTACTTTTAGCTTATTTTGTCTTGGTTATCACAAAAACTATTTGTTGCTAAAAATACAGTATATCCTACACATTGTATATGTACATGTAAATGAACTGGTAGGGTCACCTATGTGTTTTGATAATAACATATCTAATTATAAAAAGTATATTCCAACAACACAATTTTCATTAAAGTTATTAGTTTATATTTTCATACAGATGGCCGTATCGATTCCTATAAAGGAGAAATTAGCTCAACTGTTGAATAATCTGAAAGAGATAAACAGTTTGTTGAAAAATAATTTAAGTGACTTTGATCAGCAGGTAAGCACATCTCATAGTACGATGTACTAACAGGGCTTTAATTTATCTAGAACATGATCGTATTAAGCTGCGTAAGAAAAACAAACTCCAAAACCTGTTAGTAAGAGCTGTTAATTAATGCAAATATTTTAAAACTAATGGATATTATGTAATTTCATTTTTCCATGCACATTCCGTCGGTTACATAGATTTGCACATGGTACTATATGGTAATGTAATTACTTTACACACCCAATGAAAGAATGATAAGTATTAAGGATTTAGAATTTATTTTGCTCTTAAATTAATTAGCACCTGAATGTTTAAATATTTCAAACCTCGTCTCTGTTATGTCATGTCTAGGTAAAACAAGCAACACTGGAATGGCTTGACAATCCCGCAGATGCAAAAATAGATTTTAAAGAAGTGGTTTTTATGGTAACAACAGTAAATATTTCTCTACTTGAACTTAAACAAACGATTTCTGGTAATGTTATAACATTATTATGTAGTACAGTTTTACTTTTTATTTTAAAATATTTCGTTGGATTAATAATTTATAACGATAATATTCGACAAATATGCTATTTAAAAATATACATTACTAAACTTTATATATTATACATCTTTTTTCCATAGACTACGTCGTCCATTTAAATTTATTTATCCTATGTATTGTAATATACATCTTTATTTGTAAAATTATTGTATGTTTTCTATAATTCAAAATATACTCATTGGAAAGATAACATATCGTTTAAAAGCCATTGATTTTTATATTTTAGATTGTCTGCTTTTGAACATATTTGCAATGCTTTTTAAATCATTTTACATTCTTACTATTGAAAATCGAATCCTTAAAACAAATTTGTTCCACATGTCTAAAAGTTTCCTGCACCAAGTATCAAGCAATGGCTGGAGATAAGACAACACAAGAGAATAAAAGTGTTGCCTCTGTACACGATGTAAATTATTCTGATCTTTCTATGTCAGGTAGAACCTTAATTTAACACAGCGAAAATAAAAAAAAGAAATGGTTGTAAAAAGTAATTGTGCTAAGTAAAATTGCTTTATATATATATATATATATATATATATATATATATATATATATATATATATATATATATATATATATAAATGCACCGTTGCTGTAAAATAACTACTTTACTTTTGCCTTTAGTTTGAAATATTTTGATTCTATAGCCTTCTCCGAGAATATGCTAACATAAACAAATTTTACAAGTTGCAGGTGATTTAAGTAACAAACTGGAGCAGAGAGTAGAAAGTCTTGAACTAACGCTATCTTCTATGCAAAGTAGGAATAAAAAAACTGAAGCTGACGTGACTGAAATTAAGCAATGGAGGGACACTTATAAAACAGAAGAAAGTAATATGAAGAAACACATAGAACAATTGGCTATAAAGCAAAAACATAATGCTAAGCAATTCCGAAAGCAAATTAACGAACAGAAACATAAAACGGATGAGATGAATGAAGAACTGAAACAATTGAATGAATTAAAACAATGGAGGAAAACACTTATATCAGAACATAACAATATGATGAAAAAACTAGAAGAATTGTCTCAGAAAGAAACAGATAATAAAGAGAAGATTAGAGAGCAAATAAAAGAAGCCAAAACCAGAATAAATGAGTTGAGTAATGACATTGAAACCCTCAAAGAAAAAGAATATAATACAAGCCAAGCACTAGAAAGCACGAATACAGAGATAAAAAAGTTTAATATTATATTAAGCAAAATAAATGAAGAATTGGAAATTCACTCAAATAATACAGAGATATTACACACAGAAATTAAAAGTCATTCTGAAGTTTTATCTCACTTAAGGGAAGAAGGAAATAAAAATAAAAATACGGAAACCAAAGTAGAAAAGTTAATGTCAATGGTTTGTACTTATTTAAATTTTTGAACACATATGATATTTTTATTAAATGGTTTAGTTGTTTGTATTATATTAGTTAATAACTACACATTGTAATAACTACAAACCTGCTCTATTGCACTGTGTTTCCATTTCATTTGTGAAAAGGTTTATGACCACATTATTGTATTATTCTACTTCTAGCATGGTGTAATGTCCAAGATCTTGCAACAAAGATTGATGCCCGTTGAAAGTTTAATTCAAAAGTTTGATCAAAACCTGGCTTGTGGGCAGATGAACAAATAAAAGGTAACATGTTTAGTACCTAATGCGATTTTTTCCTTTGAGAGTCTACAAAGCGCATGCATCTACGACATTCACTTGTGACAGGAGTATTGTTTGAGACTGATATACATAGATTAACAATGTTGCTTTCGTTCTGTGGTAGACTCAATTAGAACAATAAAAATATAAATAGTCACTTTTCTCAAGTTAAATTTGTTAATTTCTTTTTTTTTTTTTGTAAATTCGTAAAAAGTCAATTGTACAAAAAAAGGTCGGCGTGGTCGAGTCGGCAAAAGCTCACGGTTGCTAAACCGAAAAGTCTCGAGTTCGAACCTTAGGGTAGATTAGGCTCGTTAGCTGGAGACAGCCACTCTTCTAGGAGAGGCAACTCCAAAATCAAACAACTGCTGCGTTGTAGTTTGTTCTTGGTTGGACAAAGGCTATGGAAGCAAATCCAAAAAGAAAAGCAGGCTGAAATCGGAGTATATAGCCTCAATGGTGCATAGCCAGTTGACACTTATCCTTTATTGTGATTGAGGAATGGTCGAATCGGCAAAAAGCTCATCGTTGATAAATTTGAAAAAAGCCTGGAGTTCAAACTAACTGCCAGATAAGGCTTCTAAAAATTAAGAACGAAGAAGAAGAAGAAGCAATGATAGAAAAATAATGATACCATTTTTATAATGGCTTGATGCCATCTTTTTAGCTTGCAACCCTGGAAAATGATATTTTGAAATTGTCAAATGATCTAGTTTCAATTAGTAAGTATGTTACGATAAACTCCTTTTACAAAAATTACAAGCCATTGGTACCCGTTAAACGTGAGATATAGGCCTATATTATTTAAATGCTATACTTGGTTGAGACTTGTATATATATATATATATATATATATATATATATATATATATATATATATATATATATATAAAGCAGTGCATGTGTGTGTTTGTATGTCTGTCTTCTATGCATTACAACATCTTTCATCCAATCTACATGAAACTTAGGGAAGTTTTTAGAGGGAGGTGTCTGTGAAAAAAAAAATCTTTAAAATGCACAAAATTTGCGCCCCGATAGTACGCGGCTTTATTCTTCTCTATATACGGTATATAACAATAAAAGTCGATTGCGGTTTGCCACCGTTCATCCGTTCGCCATGTATCTTTGTGGAGGTGGGGGGGGGGGATATGGGAGAATTATGCAAATTATGGCACCCTGGGTTATCATTTTAGCACCATTGTGCCTACGTTATTTTTAAAGAGCCAGGGGCCTACGCAGTGTAATCAAAAGCGCCCTCTACGTCCCCTACACTTGTGAGGTCAGTGATAAAAGATGATATTACGGTGAGTGATTAATGTACATTCAGGGCTTTCATATGGCTTGCTAGACGGTAGTGTCGGTAAACCCGTGTCTAGATAAATATGATGAAAGCGCAGGCATTGTTAACACTTTAATAACTCAGTTTTAACAAAAAAGGTAAGGCGTCTAAGAATATAAGATTGGTAAAGCATTGATGAAACGCTACTAATATATTTTGTGAGATTTGTGTTTGTCTTTTATGCATTACTACACTTTTCATCAGATCGCCATAAAACTTTGGGAAGATGTTGTTAATACTCCTGTTGTGGTTTCTGCGTTTAAAACGTTTTAAGTAGGGCTATTGTCGAGTAAGAACATAATAAGTGTCTGGGAACGAGAACAAAAATTCAAACAGGACTAAAGAGACGTACACGCAGACACACACAAAGACACACACATAAATAGAAAAAAAGTCATCGTTACACACAACACAAATATTGACATAACAAACACAAACAAAACGTATGTTTCAACATATTATACAATCTTGTAAGTGTATCTGCTTAGTTATGGTTGATCCAAGAATTTTTTTTAAAAAGGTTCGTAATTGTAAGGCGATTGAATAATATTCGCGCTTTTTTCTAACTCTCTTTGTCCAACGATTACTTAATTACTTAAAAAGTGACTTGTATACTATACTAAACACAACAACGTTTGGACACAACGTTCAACAGAAATAAACATGAGTGTATAAATATGTTTATATTTACTTTATGTACGGTGATTGAAAATGCATGTTAAAAACAGGACAAGACATTAAGATTTTAAGTCTATTGGTAAGTTAAATAGTAAACACACATAATTGTGAACAGACACACAGACACTTGTGCAAAAGTTTATGATTATACTCTAACATATACTTTCCAACAGAGACCCGTGTATGTCAGCCTTACATCTGTCAATTTCACCTGGATAACAACACAGCAGTGACTACTGGATCAATTCTTTCAAAATTTAATCGCGTGTGGGAATCCTACGGCAGCCATTTTAATAGAACCACAGGAAAACTTGTAGCACCAGATGATGGTTCCTATCTTGTGATTGTGACGCTGCGTGAACGTGAGGCTAAACTGATTAAAGTTGATGTGTACAGGGATGACACATTTTTTAAGAACATTTTTGTTAACTCTGCCAATACATCTGCCGCTGGAGCAACAGCTATTTACACGATGAAAGGCCAAGAACTTTACTTTAAAGTTGGCCAAGCCGATGATGGAGCCAAGCTACACGGAGGAAGTGGCTTTACTATTCTCAGATTATGAATTTTGTCATGCTTATGAAATAAGTAGTTTATCATTTAATTCACATGACATCATTTTCAATTGCTTTTGATTATCCAATGCGCCTATATTGAATGCATAGATAGGTAGATTTCACTGTTTCTGGCAGTCCTATAATAGAGGAATATGTGAACATACTGAATTATAGTCTACACTTCATTTTTTGTTTCAGCGAATGGTTTGACTTCTTTTTCGGGTTGCATTTTAAAATACAACAATTAAACATAAAAAGAGTTTGTGTTTGAGTGTTCTAACATAAATTAATGTTAAGACAATCTAAAGTAGCTATGCTTCGCAGCCATTGTGAAAAGAACAATGACATATACATCATAAAATATTATGTCTTGTCAGCTGAGTACGTTTATTTTACATAACATGAATATAACTGTCAAAACTGTATTCAAACATCATCATAGTTTATATAAATATACGACAAAGTAAAAATTGTCCAATTAATGCAATTAAACATTATTGATTTTTTAAAAATAGACTACTTTTTAATTAGAAACAGTAGTTGTTTTATATGCAATAGAAATCTTTAGGATATGGGTTAGTATATATATATATATATATATATATATATATATATATATATATATATATATATATATATATATATATATATATATATGGGGGGCCCAAAAATTTGTTTGCCAGGGAGCCTTTTTTTCTAGTTCCGCCGCTGGTTTAATATAAACATGTAACATCATATCGTGTTATCATGCAATCATTGACTGGTTTTATCAGTTATATCTGCTATAGTTCAGGTATGATCAAACAGAGTTTCTTCCATGAAGAAAGTCTACCCCCCCCCCCACCGAACGAGATGGAATTCATATAGTAAACATATTCTGTGTCCACCCCCCCCCCCCCCCCTGGGAAACGAAGACCGCACCCCCCCTCCCACCGATCATATCAAGTGCCTTCCAATGAGAATAAAAATCTGGAAGAAACTATGTGATCAAATCAAACAGTGTACATTACTGCTTATAAACTGCTTATAAACTAAATTGTATGGCTGCTTATAGACTGTTTATAAGCCGAATTGTTTGTCAGTGATACCTTTCTTTGTATTACACAAAGTCAGCGTAGAGTAAATAACAAGCAAATAAGATGAGTGAAATATAAACCTCGGATCTCGGCCTTTAAAATCTCAATGCTAGAGACGAACCATTGATATGAAAATGATAAATGTTCTCTTCATGCTGATTATTTCAAGTTTTCAAAACAAAGAAACCCAACTACCTTCTTGAGAAATTGTGTTAGTTAGTGTAGTGTTAGACGCATATTAAAGAGTGAAGAAATGAACATTATATTAGGTCATGGTTTTTGAGATGTTTGCTTATCATCTGTCAATAGTGAAGATAGGTATCATACACAAACTATTGCTAAATGCGATACCACTTTAACTGTTTTTTTACAACACATGAGACAGCAATAGGTATTTACCACTTTAAAATTAGAGCCAAATTTTATTAGGCTCACCTTGAATAATAACAAATATAATTCCAATACAAATAAAAATGTTAAATTTGCAAAATTCAATTGTATGTATCAAATATAGAGTAATATTTATGATTGCCAAATCACTTTTACTGCATCCATTTTCAATTATTTTTTTATTAAGAACTAAATCTTATTACATATATACATTCTTAATATTATATGCAGTAACAGTAATGCTAGGTAGAGTTATAAAACGGGTCTACGACAAATTCCCGAAAGACACAATCTTAAGATACATGGATATATATATAGATAGTTATAAGTGATGTGTTAGATTACTGATACAATCACACTGAATAAAAGAAAATAGGATTTTTTCATACAGAAAAAAATATAATCCACATTTTCTTAATTGAATGAATGTAATGATAACAATAACAGTTACTTGCAGGTTAATGAAAACATTTTTTTTCTTCACAAAATCATATGTTGGATTAATATTTTTAATACAGAAGGAAAATATTGATTTTGTCTAGTAAACGTATCCCCGCATTCGTTTTATCAATAGTTCATTTGATTTGCCTCAGAGTTCTAGATCTGAATTACATATTCAACAAGAACAATGCGTTTATCTTTACACATAAAATGTATAAATGCAAATAACTAACTGATTTTTAATTATTCACCTCACATACTAGCAACATGGGAATGGCATTGAATTAGATAGAACTGAGTTTTTGTCGACATGAAATCTACTCACATAGTAAGATGTTAGCGTGTATTTAACAAGGAGGTTACATAATTTTATTTTTTGAGAATTTACCATCCACCATGTTTCGTGTTGTACTTCTATAAACTAACGAAAGTAAAACTACTTAGCCCAGATAACATTGCGAGTTGATCTGCGTGAAACACTTTAATGTAAAGTTCTTGACCTTTCTTCATGTCAACAACCACTGACCCAGCTGTGCTAGTGTCGGCACATTTCACTTCTATAAACGTAAACCACACGTCTCCAGCCATCACACCAACTCTAATCTGTTTATCTTCCCATTCATGTAGAGTTACACAGACAAGATATAAACCATCATGTGGTGATACAAATGTTCCTGTAGTTTGATTAAAATGTTGACCGTTATATTCACGTACTTCTTTAAAGGTTGAAATAATTGATTTAGTTCTGACAGGTGTGATAGCAGCAAGCGTTGCATAACAAGCATATCTGTTACATATACGTGACTCTGTTGATTAGAAAACATATGTTTGATTTACATGTTCAATTTCCCGAATGGTGTCATCCATTTATGACGTTCACAAAAATTTGGAATTTAAATGTCATTTGTAATGTCATTTGTATCTGTCTAGCTGTCTAGCTATTAACGAATAAATGGGTTAGGGTAAATTCAGCAAATCAACGTGACGCCATTACATTACTCTAACACAACTTTACGCTACACATGTTTCCATTACAAACCTCCCCCTCCCTTTAGTCCTAGTCGCTCCGACTGTGAGCCCTACACACCTGACTAAGCGAGCATATTATACGCGTGCTGTTGTTTAAATATCTATCTGTAATGTATAGTTTTTTTACTTGAAGAAAAATCACTAGGTCTCCGTCGTCTTAGGCTTTGACAATTAATGATGTAGACCTACTATGATTTAGTTACACAATCAATCAGAGCCAAATCTTATTGTTTTTAAAGTTAAGCTTTAATAGTTTGAAATGTTTAAAAAAATAAACTTGAAATATCGTGAGTGAAAGTTAAGATTTTATAGTTTGAAATGTTTAAAAAAAAACTTGAAATACCGTGAAATATTTTAGATAATTGTAGCGGTCATTGCCCCTTCCCCCTCCCAAAAATTAAAAAAAATGTCCGCTTATTTTCCTAGGTTGGCGGTATACAGTGACATTTTGGCTACATTTATTTACCAGTTGTGCTGGGGAAATTCGACACGAGAACTGCCGATTTAATGTATAACCTACATTTTATATGCATTTTTTAAAAGTATGTTGTTGTTAAATTCTACATGTGGACGTTGATAATGACTCGACCCCCCCCCCCCCTCCAGTCCACATGCGTTTACAAAAGTATATTTTATTCGATCCACCTCCCACCTCCCCCGTGTGGAAGTAATAAATGGATGATCCTCATGCTCTGATGATTTGATCCATAATATGTGCATTGTCGTATTGTCGTATTATTAGTTTATGTTACTAAATTTAAACATAAACTAATTATATGTGTTTTGAATGTTTGTTCAAAATGTAAGTAAAAATGGCAAACCCAAATCAAAAAATAAAAAAAAAATACTTTGTGTATAATAATCCATAAAATTTAAATAATTTTGTCAAAGATCACAAATTGAAACACTAGACCATTACTACTAAAAAAGGTTATATGCGCAGAGTTTCTTCAAGGCATCTCTTCCCCCCCCCCTCCCGAAAAAGTCTACCGACCCCCCCCCCCCCCCCAGAACGAAATGAAATGTATATAGAAATATATAATAGAAAACATATAGATGATATACTTTTAACAGAGTCCGTCCCGCACCCCCCTCCGAAAAAAGTCTACCCCCCCCCCACGAAAATTTCAAATGCCCCCTTTCCCCGGAGAAAAAAGTCTGGAAGAAACACTCTATATGCGTTATGTTACAATCAATCAGTCCGTATAGCTTAAGGGAACAAGATACCCATGTTTTCGATAAAATGTTAATTTTGCTACCCAAAATTTTTATTTCTTAATTCGATACTAATACCTTTTATCTATCTAACCCGAACATTTCGGACTTCTACAGCTTACGGTTATTCGTTTATTGCGATGTGAAACATGGTACCCCCCCGGCAAGTTTTCACACTACTACGCGGACAGCGGCTATCTTCGAGCGGGTATTACATCATTTATTGCCCGCGAGGCACCATAAACTTTACATCAATCTAAGGGCAAAGCACTCGTGTACCCGCTGGTGTAGTGACATTTTCTTTTGTTCTAAAAATAATTGGGATAGAAGTTGTTTTCTTCAAAGTAAAATTTTATATTAAACTCCATATAAGGGCATGCGCGTAAAATTTATGAATGGGAAGAGTTTCATTGATACGCTTGACCAATCATATTATAGTACAGTTTATCAAAATAATTCACGATAGATTGCAACTAACCACGTGTGCTAGGCAGCCATCTTGTTTCTAGATAAACAAAACAATCGCCTGTCTCGTTTGTTTACCTCATTTGCGTATACTCTTCTATTTGTTGTTTTAAAGTTATACAACAACATTAAGTTTAATAATTGAAACTTTGCCTAGAAATGTACTGTTGATTATCACTGGAACAATATTAAACACTGTTTCGTACGCTTTATACTAAGCTGAAACAATGCGTCATGGACATGACTATCAGTTTGAAGAATGTGCTGTCCATCCCCTTTACCCCCTTCATTCCCTTCTCGCCATTCAACCAACGGCCGGTTTATAATCTTGTTACGGCATGCTGTGATAGGCTTGAACGCGTTTATCAGGCTTTACACCGGACTGTATACGACACATGTGTTAATGTGTATGCCCATCTCTCCGTATAGGGCTTGCTAGCAACGAATGTAAATACTAGATAGTAGTAGATAGGATAGCTGGGAAGCATTCACTTAGGCCCTGTACTTGACCCTATCTACACAGATGTGTTATTCAGGGTTAAATAAACATTGGTAATCTATGGCTCATCGGTTCCTCACGCACTATCCAGCGGTGGGATGGGGTGGAGGGGCGTGTCTAGCCTCCAGCGTTGTACCCAGTGTTGTGTTGTAGGCTATTATCATAAGGCAATAAACTTGTGTAAGCTACAATTTAAGTAGGGATAGACATTGTATTGAAGTGAGAAGACCGGCTAACAAACAAAACTTGATCTGGTTTGATGATAGCTGTTCCGAGAATACCGCTCAATTGATAGGATGTGTAATACTTAATAGTCATACATTACATTCATTACCTGTTGTATACATATTTTCTGCTTACATAGAAAAAATCTATCTAAAGCTTACAACATAAATCAAAGCGTATTTTATTAGACAAATGGTTCTTCCACATATAACAATACGTTTTTTTCTGTTTTCTATAAGAGAAAACGCACCATGCCTTTTCCCGCTCTTCTTTTCACGTTTTCTCAACTTTGAATTTTTACTCAAAATTCAACATTCAAATCGCTAAGGCTTTGGAACCCTTTGTCATACAAGAATAAAATATTCCATGTGCATTCAGCATAATACTATCTACAAAACTACGTTTGTACATTAAGTTTACTACAATACTTTAGGAAATATTGCTATTTATGTAACACCACCCCCTAATTTTTGTACATAAATTTACGTAAAAATTTGTATAAAAAATTGAGGACAAGCTATCGCAATGAGTAAACGTAGAAATGTATAGTTTGGTTTGAGAAATCTAAATATTTCATCCGCTTTTTAAAATCTCTTTTGGGAACAAAGCCTTAGCGATTTGAAAAGGTGTTAGTTTTCACACCTTTTCGCTGTTTCCATGGCAACCAGTACTGCTATTGATGGCTATATATTATTTTTGTCTATAGTTTAACAACTATAATTATATGAACTTATTAAACAACCAGAAGTGTGTTAAATAAAAAAAAATTGTATCCGTGGTGCCTATATAAGGTTAATTTATCGTAACAAGAATCTCAGGAACTAAATTTATTATGTTGTAATTTTGAAACTCTAATAAAACGATTGACAAAATTAGCATCATTAACCTATTCTATAGCGCATTTCATAATACAACAAATTAATTTGATACTAAGATGTTAATAAACCAGCTAACATATATATATATATATATATATATATATATATATATATATATATATATATATATATATATATATATATATATATATATATATATATATATATATATACATATATATATATATATATATATATATATATATATATAACAAACAGCCCATATAAATGTACACATATATACATACATTATTTTTTAACATACCAGTAATATAATGATAGTGAAGTTATTCAAATATTCGTCATCTACATGGTTCGTATAGTTTGTCTCAAAATAATGGATTTAAATTTAATGCTTAACAAAACAAACGGTTATATTTTAACACACGAATCTTTATACATAGTGCTCTTATGCAAAAAAAAAAAGATATGTAAAATAGAGATATATGTTTAGTCGAATACACGTATTAATTGGTGATAACATTGAGTTATTTGTAGTCTACACACATAGTAAGTTGTTAGCGTGTGCTTAACAAAGTGTTTACATATTTTATTATTTGAGAATTTACCATTAACCATGTTTTGTGTTGTACTTCTATAAACTAACGATAGTAAAACTACTGTAGTAGGATAGCTTTGCGCCTTGTTTTGCGTCATACACTTCAAAGTAAAGTTCTTGACCTTTCTTCATGTCAACAACCACTGACCCAGCAGCGCTAGTGTCGGCACATTTCACTTCTATAAACGTATGACACTTGCCTCCAGCCACCACAGCAACTCTAATCAGTTTATCTTCACATTCATGTAGACTGACACAGACAAGATATAAACCATCATGTGGTGATACAAATGTTCCTGTGGTTTGATTAAAATGTTGACCGTTATATTCACGTACTTCACTAAATGTTGAAATAATTGATCCAGCACTGACAGGTGTGAGATCATCAAGCTCCACATGACAAGCATATCTGTTACATACACGTGACTCTGTTGATTAGAAAACATATGTATGATTTACATGTTCAATTTCACGAAAAGCGTCATCCATTTATGACGTCCACAAAAAGTTATTAATTTTAACACAAATGTTTATTGAAGATGCTGTAGACCGAACATCGTAATGTCACTTGTGTCTGTCTAGCTTTTAACGAATAAATGGGTTGGGTAAATTCAGCTAATCAACGGAACGTCATTCCATTACTCTTATTTAACTTTACGCTACACATGTTTCAATAACAAACCTCCCCTCCCCCCCCCCTTTAGTCTTAGTCGCGCTGACCGTGAGCCCTACACACCTGACCAAGCTGTTATTTAAATATCTTACTGTAACGTGATAATTTGTAGTTTTTTTTACTTGAAGAAAAAATCACTAGCCCTACATCGTCTTAGAGTTTGACACAAATCAATGATGTAGGACTACAATGATTTAGTCACACGATCAATCACAGCCTAGATTTGTTTTCAAAAGTTAAGCTTTAATTGTTTGAAATGTTTAAAAAACAAACTTGAACTATAGTTAAATATTGTAGATAATTGTTGCGGTCGCTGCCCCCTCACCCTCCCGATTGTAAATTAATCTCCGCTTGTTTTCCTAGGCTGGCGGTATACAATTACATTTTGGCAACATTTATTCACCCGTTGTGCCGGGGAAATTCAACACGAGAACTGCCTATTTAATGTATAACCAACATTTTATGTGCATTTTTAAAAAGTATTTTGTTGTTAAATTTAACATGTGGACGTTGATGATGACCCGACCCCCCCCCCCCATTCCAGTCCCCATGCGTTTACAAAAGTATATTGTATTCGGAACCCCCCCACCCCCCCGTGTAGAAGTCATAAATGGATGATCCCCATGCTCTGAGTATTTGATCCATAATACGTGCTTTATCGTATTATTAGTTTATGTTACTAACCCTAAACAAAAACTCATCATATGTGTTTTGAATGTTGCTCAAAATGTAAGTAAAAATGGCAAACCCAAATCAAACAATTTTAAAAGAAAAATACATTGTGTATAATAATCCATAAAATATACATAATTTTGTCCAAGACCACAAATTGAAACACTAGACCAGTAGTTTAGTACAATCCTCAGTTTTAGTGGTGTTAGTTTATCGTGTCAGACGTATTGAAACTACGAGGGTAGTAATTCAATTAATACCTCTCAGATAGTACTACAAAGGTTATATGCGTTATGTTATAATCATTCAGCCCGTATAGTTTAATGTATTAGTATTTGTATTTTGTATTTTATTATGTATTTAATGTATTAGTGTAATATTTTTTTTGTTTAATAGTTATTATTTTGTTTTTGATTTAATTCCTGGATTTAATGCGTCGCAGTTTTAATCGTAAAAAATTAAGGGATGATGTGACGTTAATAGGAACTAATAAATAAATTAATTAGTTAATTGTATACTGCAGCTCTGTAAATGTCTTACTGTGCTGAGGTAGACCGTTGTAGGTTGACCCCCGACATACCAGGTGGTGTAATGTACCAGGTGAGGAAACAAACACCTGACGGAAACCCACGGGTCTAGAGACTGGCACTATGGGTGAGTAAAATGTTCCATTCTTTATCACGTTATTGTCTGTCTGGCTAACGAACATCACGTTATGGTCTGTCTGGCTAACTTCACGTTATTGTCTGTCTGGCTAACGAACATCACGTTATGGTCTGTCTGGCTAACGAACATCACGTTATGGTCTGTCTGGCTAACGAACATCACGTTATGGTCTGTCTGGCTAACGGACATCACGTTATGGTCTGTCTGGATAACGAACATCACGTTATGGTCTGTCTGGCTAACGAACATCACGTTATGGTCTGTCTGGCTAACGAACATCACGTTATGGTCTGTCTGGATAACGAACATCACGTTATGGTCTGTCTGGCTAACGAACATCACGTTATGGCCTGTCTGGCTAACGAACATCACGTTATGGTCTGTCTGGCTAACGAACATCACATTATGATCTGTCTTGCTAACGAACATCAAGTTATAGTCTGTTTGGCTAACGAATTTTAATAAATAAGTAAATACTTTCGTGTAAGAGAATGAGAGAACCTAGAGCTGGGTGGGGAGGGGTGTAGGATTGACAGATATTGAACAGAGTTATGCAAAAGTAATAAAGTGAGTACCGATAAGTTAGCATCGATAACTATACCTTGAATGTGTTACTTTTTCACGAGAAAAAAAATTAACCATTATAAGTCTTAATAAAGTTTTTTAATTATTTTTTTTTTCAAAACACACTTACCGATTAAATGAATTTCTTTGGACATCTTTGAAATGGTAATTTCAATATTTTCAAGCTAAACAAAAATAAAAGTTTAAATGAAATAAATTGAAATAAATTTCCTAAATATTAGTAAAAGATACTGAATAGATGATGCAGTGTCCAACGCTTTTCTTTATATTTATTTAAATAGTAGTGTGTTATTATATGTTAAATGATTGTTTTTTCATCTTTTTAGAGCATGATTAAATTATTACTTTTTTAATACATTTATCACATACCTCCTGTAATCTTTGTTCCCTTGTTTTCAAGTTCTGGTTAAAGATTTGAATCAATTTGTCAATAGGCATCAATCTTTGTTGCAGAAGTTTGTACATCACATTGTGCTGAGTGAATCATTAAAATTAGACTATTTCTATTGCAGATGAAATTGCAGACTTTAAAGTGTGCCTCATCATTAGTTTCAAAATCGTAAGTATTACTGGTGAAAAAACGAATCAACTGAATGTTAATAATATTTTAAAATTTTGTTCTTAAAATTGGAGTAAGAAATGGATTTACCTTTGATTGCACTTTCTCAAGTGTCATTGTTGTATCGACCAAGATTTTATTTTCTTCTTGTAAATAAACAATCTGATCAGAATGTCTTTTAATTTCTTGAGTTATACTGTCTGTCTTATTTGTGTGATCTTGCATCTCTTTATTTATTTTGTCCAATTTGATTTTATGTTCTTTCATATTTAGAGAATGTTTCTCTAGTGTTTTGTGTGACTTGGTTTCTTTTTCTTTTAAACTTTCAATTTCTTTGTTCAGCTCCTTTACTTTATTATCTTGTTCACTCATTTGTTTTCTGAGGTTTTTTAAATTCTGTTTTTGTTTTTTAGTCAGTTGTTCAATGTTTACCCCCATGTCACTCTGTTCTGTTACAAAGTTGTCTCTCCATTGTTTTATTTCTGATATGTAATCTGTAGACTTGACATTGGCGTCTTGTAGAGAAGATATGGCTGTCTCTATCTGCTCAAGTCGACTGACGTCTTGTAGAGAAGATATGGCTGTCTCTATCTGCTCAAGTCGACTGACGTCTTGTAGAGAAGATATGGCTGTCTCTATCTGCTCAAGTCGACTGACGTCTTGTAGAGAAGATATGGCTGTCTCTATCTGCTCAAGTCGACTGACGTCTTGTAGAGAAGATATGGCTGTCTCTATCTGCTCAAGTCGACTGACGTCTTGTAGAGAAGATATGGCTGTCTCTATCTGCTCATGTCGACTGACGTCTTGTAGAGAAGATATGGCTGTCTCTATCTGCTCATGTCGACTGACGTCTTGTAGAGAAGATATGGCTGTCTCTATCTGCTCAAGTCGACTCAATATTTCTATAGTAATACATGATAAACAAATTAAATTATTTTACGTATTGATTGTGTTTAGAAAATCATAAATACTTTATTTTTAACGAAGCTAAGACATATATGTTTACATCTTAAGATTTAGTTGTTTTAGTTTCTAAATATTCCATACCCGCTGTTGATTGAACGTGTTTAGTGACTTGATGTTTCGATTCACTAGGGTCCCATTTTTCTGCTGCTGTAGGATGTGGTGTTGACTGAGATAATGATGACGCAGTGTCCTCGACATCTACGTAGTCTTTATTTTCATCTTGGTGATGTAAATGAACAAAATAATGTTTTGTTACATATTGAAATAGTCGAATATGTATTTTTGTTATTTGAATAATTCCTTTAGATGGAGCTACGGTATTTTTTTTCATAGATCCTCAAGTTAACATCATTACAGATATTGAAAAAAGCTTTACTTATGATAGATGATGACGTATTCAACAAACTCAATGTAGCTGCCTCTAGTTCCTGGCAAAGGTCACTGTAGGTGAGAGGCGGGTTGTCAATTTTATCTTCTATCCAAGTTTGACTTTTTTCTACAGCCTTGTATAAAAACATTTTTGAATGTACCGTGTATTTTTCTTTTGAAATTATTCCTTAACTACTTTTTTCTACTTAAGTTATTGCACTATTTAAAATGTATGAAGAAATAACAATATTATTAATCGTTTACGTTTTTCAAAACTTCCAAGACAGGTTCCAGAACTTGTATCTTTTCTTCCAAATATTTCTTATGCCGTACAACAAGTTCAAGGTGAATCCTGGGTCGCATCTAACAAAATAATTAAAAGATTTGGTCGAGATGTCAACTAATTAACTTGAAAAATCAGAAAACTGTAAACCAATCAAGAAAAACAAAATATTTACAATAAGATAATTTTAAAAAATCACATATAATTTACATTTTTAACATGGCTAAATAGCAAGCAAATTTATTGATAGACTTTTAATATGTGTTTATTTAGCACGTTATTCTACTATAAATTTTGAATATTATTATTTTTCTTATCGCATGAAATTGCACTCTTTACATTTACATCCAACTAATGAAAATAAATGTGTCCATCGGGAAAATCAGCTTTTATGAAAAAAAATATTCCATTAATAAACATGGCCAGCAATACAAGAGTCGTAGGCTGCTAGATCTGTTTTTTTTTGCCGCCAACTAAAATATTTTATCCAGGTAACAACCACGAATCTGTGTATTTAGTAGGTCATTCAAATTGTTTTATGTCGAAGAAACTATTATCTGATTATATAATCATGTTCCTCCATCTTTAACATATCTTAAAATAGGTACTATTTGTATTCGAAAAATTCAAAGTAAACGACACATTATATGATCCACAATTGAATACAGGTTTTATTACTAAATTAAGATGCATGTATAATCTCTAAATCATTTGATCACACTTACTTTAATCTTGACTTCTGGTATTCTTTTGACGTGTAGGTATAACTTTCTTACACTATTCCACAGCTTATATCCTGCTCGTGAAACTGAAAGTAATAAACGGGAAATTCCGCTATTATCTATTACGTTGAAACCTCAGTACAAAGTACACAAAAACTCAAGGGACATAACTGTGGCTGCTCTTTTTTTTTTGTTGCAACAACACATTGAGTTAAAAGAAGGTAACATAAGATACTGTTTAATTTCATTACATATGCACTTACATATAAGCCTACATATGTGATATATGTATATACGATATATTGCTTATTATATGCAGATACACGTTTATGGTTAAATTTTGTGTTAGGTCTAGAATTAGGTTAGGAAAATGAATAAGTCCAGTAAAAGTTCAGATATTATCAACTCATGAAGCGTTCACGTTAAAATAACTACTATCGAGAAAACAAATGAATGAGAGTTTATGACAGAATATTCAATGCAGAAGAAAACTAAATCCTGTTCGACATCATTATTCGTGTGGATAACGTGTGGTCGCTATAACCACAAGTCTCATCAGTGCTCGTTTGACGTCGTTTTATATCGAGATTATTCTACGTTAACGGTTGTTTTGTTATAGGTTTTTCGATCACTAACTGATGTGTAATCGAATAATATTTGCGTGATTCAGATATCATTCATTGTGGGCGTGTTGCCAGTTATGGTCGTATAGATATCTTTAGTCGTGGTGTTGTGATTAGTTAACGGTCAATGATAAAACTGAAATAGTTAATTTTTATTATCAATGGTCCAGATGTACGTTTTTAGGGTGGAAACGATTTTAAATTGTATAATGATTTTTCGCACTATATACTGAATTAGATCCGAAGCAAAATAGAGTTGTTATTTTTAAATTTCGTCTGTATAAGTTATATATTAAATCTACTTATGTTTTATTTTAAAATATGTCTACCCTTTACATTAAAAAATAAACTGAATTTTTTTTTTAGAATAATTTTATAAAAAATATGTAGGGTTTATTAAGTATTAAATGTTTCCTAACTTTTCCTGCATTTAGTACCTACAGTGGCGTAGCGAAGTCGGGTGTCACCCGGTGCGGCACAAATGGTGTCACCCACCAGAGGCGTAGCGACCTTTCCCGGGGACAAACTTTCGATTTGCACCCCCATCCCCCTCAAACTTTCGATTTGCAACCCCCCTCCCTCAAATTTTTCTCTATATATTTTGCTAATTTTTGCCTTGATGTCACCCCCTAAATTGTGTCAACCGGTGCGCTCCGCACCCCCGCCCTTCCCCCCACTTGCTACGCCTCTTAGAACCTATAACAGTTTTGTTTTAAAACAAAAATTAAATTATAAAAACTAATTTAGCTGAAAGATACTGAAATTATTGGCCTAAGTATCAGGTTTGTTATTTTACGTAGTTCAGCTGTTATAATATCAGACCGTATTTTGAAATATACATCTTACCATTATTACCTTTAATCCGAATTCTATATAAAACAAAATAGCACTAAAATATTATCTACTTTGGCCTCTACCAAAGTGTAGTCACTTATCTGTTTCTGAACAAAAAAGAAAATAGATTTTGTATTTATATATTATTAATGGACTCGACTATTTATTTCGTATTTCTCCATTTGTAAAGGATGCAATCAAATTTTGTAAGGAATCACGGTTAGAGTTTTCTCACTAAGATTGTAGGTAATGAAATCTGTCTGTTCTGTCTTTACTTGGACTATATTCTGTACCTTTGTCTACCCTTGGCGTTGAAATATCACTTTATGTTTATATTGCTAATCTTTTAAGACGGAACAAATCAACGATTAGTACCCAGTTTCTGGTTACAATAATCGGCTACGCCCCAGGACGCCTTTTCTGTTATTGTCATCGCTTATATAATCTGATACAGTCTTTTTCTTCTTCGTTCTTAATTTTTAGTGTTGGAGAGGAATGCGCATTATCTGACAGGGGTTCGAACCCGAATTTAACCACCATGAGCTTTGCCGACTCGGCCATGCCTCCAACACAATTAAGTATACATTTCAACTGGTTGTGCGACAGTAACACCGATTTCAGTTTTGGATTTCCTTCCATAGCCTTTGAACACATTACAAGGCAGCAATCGTTTGCTTTTGGAATTATCTCTTAATTTGCCCGAAGGTTCGAACTCGAGACTTTTCGGTTAAGCAACAATGAGCGTTACCGACTCGACCACGCCGACCCTCTTATATAGTCTAATTATGTTTGCTTTTCGGTTGTGTTTATATTATTATTTAACAACAGTTTCTTCGTCGAGGTTATTTTTAAGTGGAGGTGAGATATGTATGGAACAGTTGATGCTTTATTGTGAAACCCCACAGCTTATGTTTTATTATGAATAAAAAAAGTTATTGTTTCATTTTAAATCCCAACAGTTGATGTTATATTATAAACATTCTGAAAGCAGATCAGACATTAGGGCTTGTTCTGGTAGATGCACACTATAGTCGTTTATTTCAAAAGTTAACACTTTCTTCACCTACAAATACAAAGCATACAAAAGAGAGGACTTATGTTAATAATTTAAATATGACATTGCCTGTCTAAATCTGTGTTTGATTATTTCATTGAGAAATTCTTTCATAAATTCACTAAGTTAAGAAAACATAATTTTAATTACACCATTTTCTACGTCGCAGTTTATATTGAGATACTCTATCAAATATTCACTGAGGTAAGAAACTTTTAATTATATAATTTTGTATTTATGCACTACTCCGCTCACCAACATTAAAATTAGATCTGTTCTTTGAACACCAACCTAGTGACAAACAAAAGGATAAATCATGTTCACAAGTTTGATGAAATGTGTTATGTTATTTCTATGTCATTGTCTATGTGCATTTAAATGGACTTGTAGGGTCATCAATATTGTTAAATAATAGTATATCTATTTATAAAGAGTATATTCAAATGACACAATTAAAATAAATTAGTTTATATTTTCTTTTAGATGGCCGTATCGATTCCTATAAAGAACCATTTAGCTCAACTGTTGAACAGTCTGGAAGAGATGAATAGTTTGTTGAAAAATAATTTAAGTGACTTTGATCAACAAGTAAGCACATCTAATAGTACGATGTATTCACAAGACTTTAACTTATCTAGAACATTATTAAGCTGCTTAAGAAATGCAAACGCCAAAGCCTGTTACTAAGAGCTATTAAGTAATGCAAATAATTTGCTAATGGGTGATATAAAATCTCATTTTCAATCCACATTCCTTCTGTACAGAGTTTCTTCCAGGCATCTTTTCGGGGGGGGGGGGGGGGGGGGAAGGGCCACTGCCCCCTCTCCCCAACCAACCCAGAAGAAAGACTACTGCCAACCCTCCCCCCGAACGAGATTGAATTTATATAGAAAACGTATACTTTTACAAGTGTACCCCCCCCCCGTAAAATGTCGACCGCCCCTTCCCCCTAAAATATCAAGTGCCCCCCCCCCCCCCGGAGAAAAAAGTCTGAAAGAAACACTGCTTCTGTAAATAGATTTATTTTTACTTTAAACGCCCAATACAAAAATTATGATTTTTTTGAATTGAGATTCTTTTGCTTTTAAATTAAAAAAGCTTATTAATCTTTAAATATTTCAATCCTCGTCTATGTTATGTCATATCTAGCACCTCAATGTTTAAATATTTCAATCCTCGTCTTATTTTTTTTCATATCTAGCACCTCAATGTTTAAATATTTCAATCCTCGTCTTATTTTTTGTCATATCTAGCACCTCAATGTTTAAATATTTCAATCCTCGTCTATGTTATCGCATGGCCAGGTAAAACAAGCAACACTGGAATGGTTGGACAATCCTTCAGAAGCTGCCCTACTTGAACTTAAACAAACGATTTTTGGTAATATTATAAAGACATTCAACAAATATGCTAAATAAAAAGATACGTCACTAAACATTAATAATTATACATCTTCCATTTAAAATCATTGCAACCTATGTAAACTAACATACATCTTTATATGTAAAAAACAATTGTACATTTTCTAAAATTCAAAACACTCTTATTGGAAAGATAACATCAATTAAAAGCCGATGATTTTTATATTTTCGATTGTGTGCCTTTGAACATATATACAATGCTATACAAATCATTCTACATTCTTACTATTGTAAATCATTTCCTTAAACCATATTTGTTCCACATGTCTAAAAGTTTCCTGCACCAAGTATCAAGCAATGGCTGCTGGAGATAAGACAACACAAGAGAATAAAAGTGTTGACTCTGTACACGATGTGAACAATTCTGATCTTTCTATGTCAGGTAAAATCTTAATTTAGCAAAGCGAAAATAAAAATAAATGAAATTGCTTTAATATATATATATATATATATATATATATATATATATATATATATATATATATATCAATGTAATGTAAATACTTTACTTCTTTCTTTTGTTTGAAATATTTTGATTTTATAGCCTTCTCCAAGAATATGCTAACATAAACACATTTTCAAGTTGCAGCTGATTTTAGTAACAAACTAGAGCAGAGAGTAGAACATCTTGAAACAGCGCTAACTTCTATGCAAAGTAGGAATAAAAAAACTGAAGCTGACCTGACCGAAATTAAGCAATGGAGGGACACTTATAAAACAGAAGAAAGCAATATGACGGAACACATAGAACAATTGGCTTTAAAACAAAAACATAATGCTAAGCAATTCCGAAAGCAAATTAACGAACAGAAACATATAATGGATGAGATGAATGAAGAAATGAAACAATTGAATGAAATAAAACACTGGAGGAAAACACTAATATCAGAACATAACACTATGGCGAAAAAACTTGAAGAACTGTCTAAGACACTAACAGATAATAAAGAAAAGACTAGAGAGCACATACAAGAATCCAAAACCAGAATAAATGAGTTGAATACAGAAATTAAGACCCTCAAAGAAAAAGAATCAAATACAAGCCAAACACTGGAAAGCACGAATACAGAGATAAACAAGTTTGACATAATATTGAACAAATTAAATGAAGAATTAGAAATTCAAACTACTAAAACTGAGATATTACAAAAAGAAATTAAACGTCATTCTGATGTTTTATATCACTTGAGGGAAGAAGGAAATAAAAACAAAAATACGGAAACCAAAGTAGAAAAGTTAATGTCAATGGTTTGTACTTATGTATATTTTTGATGACATATGATATTTTATTAAATGGTTTAGCTGTTTGTATTATATTAGTTAATAGGTACACATTTTAATAACTAAAAACCTACTCAATTGCATTGTGTTTTCATTTTATTTGTGAAAAAGTTTATGACAGCATGATTATATTATTCTACTTCTAGCATGGTGTGATGTCCAAGATTTTGCAACAAAGATTGTTGCCCTTTGAAAGTTTAATTCAAAAGATTAATCAAAACCTGGCTAGTAGGACGATGAACAAACAAAAGGTAAAGTGTTTTGTATTTTAGCGATTTTTTCCTTTGAGAGTCTACAAAGCACATGTATCTACGACATTTACGTGTGACAGGAGTATTGTTGGAGACTGATATACATATATTAACAATGTTGATTTTGTTCTGTGGTAGACACAATTACAACATTAAAAATATAAATAATCCATTTTCTTAAGTTCAATTAGCTAATTTCTTTTTTTTGTAAACTCGTAAAAAGTCAATTAAAAAAAGGGGGTCGGCCTGGTCGAGTCAGCAAAAGCTCATGGTTGCTAAACCAAAATGTCTCGAGTTCGAACCCTCGGGCAGATGAGGCACGTTAGCTGGAGAGACAACTCCAAAATCAAACAACTGCTGTCTTGTAGTTTGTTCTTTGTTGGACAAAGGCTATGTAAGCAAATCCAAAAAGAAAAGCAGGCTGAAATCGGAAATGTGATGGAATAAAGCTTAAAGTTGATAAATTCGAAAAAAGTCTCGAGTTCGAACCCTATGGCAGCTAAGGCTTGATCCCTTCTAACACTAAAAATTAATAACGAAGAAGAAGAAGAAGAAATTGTAAAAAATAAAGATACTTTTTTTAATAGCTTGATGCCATCTTTTGTTTTTAGCTTGCGACCCTGGAAAATGATATTTTGAAATTGTCAAATGATGTAGATTCAATTAGTAAGTATGTTACGATTAACTCTAAAATAATTACAAGTTATAGGCCTATACTTTTTTAATGTTATACTTGATTGAGAATTATATATATATATATATATATATATATATATATATATATATATATATATGTCTGCCTGTCTGTTTTTCTTCTATGCATTACAACATCTTTCATCCAATCTACATACAACTTTGTGAAGTTGTTCAGATGGAGGTGTCGGTGAAAATAAATGTTCAAATTCACAGGAATGGCGCCCCGGCATTGCGCGATTTTATTCTTCTCTATATACGGTATATAAAAATAAAAGTCGATTGCGGTATGCCACCGTTCATCCGATCGCCATGTATCTTTGTGATGGTGAGGGGGGATATGGGAGAAGATTTCTGCAAATTTTAGAACCACGGGGTTATTATGATAACACCATGGTGCCTACGTTATTTTTAAAGAGCCAGGGGCCGTACGCAGCGCCCCTGCGGTAGTGTAATCGGAGGCTCTCGTGAGCACCCTCTACGTCCTCGACATTTGTGAGGTCAGTGATAAAAGGTGATGTTACAGTGAGCGATTACAGTCCACTCAAGGCTTTTATACGGCACGCTAGGCGATAGTGTAGGTAAACCCGTTTCTAGATAAATATGATCAAAGCGCAGGCATTGTTTACATTTAAATAACTCAGTTTTAACAAACAAGGTAAGCTGTCTAAAAATATAAGATTGGTAAAGCATTGACGAAACGCTACTAATATATTTCTTCAGATTTGTGTGTGTCTCTTATGCATTGCTAAACCTTTCATCAGATCGCCATGAAACTTTGGGAAGATGTTGATAATACTGCGTTTTAAAACGGTTTAAGTGGGGCTATTGTCGAGTAAGAACATAATAAGTGTCTGGGAACGAGAACGAAAATTCAAACACGCAGAAACACACAAAGACACAAACATAAATAGAAAAAAAGTCATCGTTACACACAACGCAAATACAGACAAAACAAACACACAAACAAAACGAATGTTTTAACATATTATGAAATCTTGTAAGTGTATCTTGTTACGGTTAGTACAAGAAAATTAAAAGAAAAAAAAACGGTTCGTATTCGTAAGGCGATCGAATAATATTCGCCCTTTTTTCTAAGCCTATTTGTCGCCCTACTCCCGTCATGTTTTATCCAACGATTACTCAATTACTTAAAATGAGACTTGTATACTATACTAAACACAACAACATTTGGACACAACTTTCAACACTAATAATCATGTGTGGATCACTGTATTTACTGTGATTAATAACGCATGTTAAAACAGGACAAGACATCAAAAGCCACTCTGCTGTGACTTTAACTCTACAAGATGAAGGGAAGAAAAAGCTGGCCAATACTACAGACCAGTTAGTAGCTTTAACTACAAAGGTATCCAGTTTTTCTTCCAGACTTTTTTCTCCGAGGGGCACTTGAAATTTTCGGGGGGGGGGGGGGGGGCGGTAGTCGTTCTCTGGGGGGGGGGGGCGGACACTGTTAAAAGTATATATTTTCTATATTAATTTCATTTCGTTCGGGGGAGGGGAACGGTAGATTTTCTTCGGGGGAAGTGATTAAAATGTTTAACCTTGCTAAAATAATGTGAACTAGTATTTGGACCAATTAATTTAAATTGTGTTTTGCGTGCTATTTAAATAAAAATAAGGATTTAACTATTTTAAGAATGTAAGACATTCATGTTTTACATAAGTGAATTTTTGTACGAACACAATTTCTGATACAATATCTCGTACATTTTATACTCATTTTAGGTTGAAACTCTAGAAAGTGATGTTTTAACGCTGTTGAAAGATTTTAAGTCTATCGGTAAGTTGAATAATAAACATACACATAAATGTGAAAAGACACAGAGACTCTTGTGCAAAAGTTCATGATTAAACTATAACATAAACTTTCCAACAGAGACCCGGGTAAGCCAGCCTTACATCTGTCAAATTTTTCTGCATAACAACACACCAGTAACTACTGGATCAGTTCTTTCAACATTCTATTGGGTGTGTGAATCTTACGGCGGCCATTTTAATAGAACCACAGGAAAACTTGTAGCACCAGATGATGGTTTCTATCTTGTGATTGCGACGTTGATTGAATCGGAAGATAAAATGATTCAAATAAGTGTGTTCATGGATGACACATTTTTTGAGAACTTTTTTGTCAAATCAGCCAACACATCTGCTGCTGGATCAACTATTGTTAACATGATGAAAGGCCATGAACTTTATTTTAAAGTGGGCCAAGCTGATGATGGAGCTAAGCTACAAGCAGGAAGTGGATTTACTATTATTAGATTCTAAATTTAATCATGCTTATGAAATAAGTCTTAGTAGTTTATCATTTAATTCACGCCAGATATTTTCGATTGTTTTTGATTATCCAATGTGCCTATATTGTATGTACATATCGTTTCAATATATTGAATTAGCTGTTTCTGGCAGTCATATTATAGAGAAATATGTGAACACACTGAATTATAATCTTCACTTCATTTTGGAAAACAAATTGTTTGGTGTTTTTTTTTTCGGTTGCATTTCTAACATAAATTAGTGTTAAGACAATATAACGTAGCTATGCTTCGCAGGCCGTTTTGAAATGAACATATACATCATAAAATATTATGTCTAGTCAAGTTAGTACGTCTTTGTAACATAATATGCTTGTAGCATACAACTTGCAGCACCACTTTCCGTCATGGTTTAATTATGTCAATATTTAAAGATGTACATGAATATAATGGTCAAAACTGTAATCAAACAACTTGATAGTTTATATATGTATACGAGAAAGTAAAACGTGTCCAATTAATGCAAAGAAACATTGTTTTTTCCTAAATAGACTAGTTTTTAATTTATTTCAGTCGTTGTTTTACAAGCTCTGGAACGCTAGCAGGATATAGGTTAGTAAGAAAGTAATTTATTAAAATTTGTTGTGATCAAACGTATGCCTTCGTTGTAAAATATTATTTTAAGACATACTAATACTAGTTAAAAAATAAAGCAAGAGTGATCTCCGCTGAACATTTAAGGTATATTCGTATATCACCCTACATCGGAAGGCAATCGTGCGTTGGAAATTATTTATGTGCTAGTTAGTGTAGTGCTTGGTACATATTTAAGAGTGAAGAAATTGACATTATATTAGGAAATGGTTTTTGAGATGTTTGCTTATCATCTGTCTTATAGTGAAGATAGGTTTCATACAAAAAATATTGCTAAAAGCGATACCACTTTAACTAGGTTTTTTCTACAACACATATGACAGCAATGGGTGTTAACCAATATAAATAATTAGAACCAAATTTGTATAGGCTCACCATGAATAATAAAAAATATTTTTCCAATATAATACAAATGTTAAATTTGCAAAATACAATCATATGTATCCAGTATAGAGTAAAATTTATTATTGTCAAATCAGTTTTACTGAATCCATTTTTATTTGTTTTCTTATTTAGGACGTAATAATATTACAAATATAAATGTTATATAAAGTAAAAGTAATGCTAGGTAAGGTTATAAAATAGTCATGATATCTTCAGTGTATAAAGTAAATAATCCTCTTCACACCTAGCGATCAATTTGGCAGATGAAGTAGAGTTCTTATGTCTCTTGACCTTAGCATATGAAAATGTTTTAGTTATAGAGTTAGGTGGACATTAGAGCTAAGGGGACTCGGAGAAGCTCTACTGGCCTGGACTAAGATTCTATCCTGAGACTTACGAGTTAGCAGCCTTTTACTCTACCGCATAGCCACGCCGTTACCTCTTCTGTGTATGAATATAATTATAAGCTCATAGCGAGAATAAACCCTTAAGGTAATATTCAACTGAGATAATATTTTGATTTTAAATTTTTGGTTTAGAAATACACTATATTCCTTTCAGCTAAATCCATAAACTAGTGAAACCGCTTCCTTTTTGCAGGAAAGACCCTGGTCATGATTGTTGAACTTTAAAATATAAATCTTGACATTTCTTCAACGGAACTACAGTTGATCCGCAAACAGAAATATTGTCAGCTTTCGCGTAAATAGTTTTATACTTTAGTTTTCTAACTTTTTCATGACGTCACACTCCGTTGACTCAAGCACATGGACAAAAATTGCGTCTTCATGAATTCAGCCCACTTATAGTGATTATTATTACTAAATGAATAGTTAATTTAAGCTACAAAGGTGCTAATAGTTTTATTATTCACTATTTTATGTGTATTAACAGTTTATTTCACATATTAGAATAATTAAAGAAGCTATCTTTGGTTACGTTTTTGTGACATCAGCAACAAGACATACAATTGTACTTGGGTGCCAAGCAAGTGCACAGGAAAGTGATGTGTCGCCTAGCTAGTGAAATCGTATATTATGCGTTAATACAATTGGTTTTTATTCTAAAATTTATAATGATTTATGTACTTACCATTCCGATATAAATCATCCCAATTTATCTTGGCAAAAAGCGACGCACCCCTACCAATTTTTTTTCTTATTTTATCGTTACACAATACGCTTTGTTTCTTTTCTAAATGTTATAACAGTCATCTACCAGTCCAGGATAAATCATTCCGATTTAAGCCGACAGAATTGCACACCCCCCCCCCTCCCATCTTGATGGTAAACGATCTTTCCAGGTCTCTGGTTCTTAAGAGTGTACTTCACATTTACCCAATCAATGTAGAAAGCAGTTGAATAAAGACATGTATCTATTTAATTTCTTAACTTTGACCGTTTATAATCCAAAACTTCAGCTTATTAAAATTGACTTTTACCGCTTGTTGTGCTTCCCTGCTGTCGGCAGCGGACGACCCCTCACGCTGCCCCTCTACATCAACTTGACCCATGGGTAGCCTACACTAAAGTAGACAGGTCCAGGCTACTTCAGTGATAGTAATTAGATAGCTGAAGACTTGTTTTGTATTAAGATTGTATACTCGTACAGAAAGCAAAGCAAACACTTGCGATAATATTAAAAACCACAAATCAAACAGGCACAATAAATAAAACCATCACACTTAACTTAATTAACACGACTAGACAAAGAACAGAAGACGAAAACAGACTAGTTGCAACAGCTATTTATAGATCGACTATTTGGGAATATAGAATAAGATCTGGTTTTGTTTTTAAAAAAATACTGTGACATCGAGTTAAAAGAAATATTTTAAGCAAAGCTAAGACATAGACTGGGAACTCTCACTAAACTAAAAACAAAAGGCTGTAGACTTGATTTCACTTCAGCTGACCTATCATTGGCGAACTGTTGCACATGTTAGCGTGAATCATCTTCTTAACGGTCTTGAGAAATGTGCGAAACCATTTAAGATTTAGTGGTTTGTTTCTCATTGAACAGAAAGAAAAAAATAAATTAAACTCGAGTAGCCTTGTTTAAATTACGTAACGATTACTTTCTCAACTAAAACTTAACCCAATTGACTAATCATTTTTTTAAAATCCCTAATCAAACCCAGAACCCCCTCCCCACACACAATATATCTCCTTATTTTCTATGTCTTTATATTTAAGTTGTTTATAACTTTTCAAAAGGCGTATTAATTCTTTAATCTGATGTTAAGGTTACACGCGATTTAACTTTCTGCCAGGCTTCTGTTTCTTACGTTTATTATGCCTGTGTAACATAGGCGGTGCTGTATGTAGAATTAAGATAAATCAATGGATAGAGTCAAGATACTAGTTGATTAACGGTTGTGTTACGGACAACGCAGCTCAGCTATATTTCTCTTTGTAACAGGGTAGCATGTCCAACATGCATACTATATATATATATATATATATATATATATATATATATATATATATATATATATATAGAGAGAGAGAGAGAGAGAGAGAGAGAGAGAGAGAGAAAGAGAGAGAGAGAGAGACTTATATATGTTCTATTTATGTGTGCGTGTGTTTGCGTAGGTGTTAATTCACATACAATATTACTGATTAAAATCACAAGAGTGGTATTTGTTTCGAGAATAACTGTAATTTACTAAATAAAAGTTACTGGCAGTATCTTTCAAAATATTTACAAATTCATAAAATGGATTAATTTTTTAAAAACATATCTCACACATATTTTAGTTACCCAGTGAACTTATTCCACTTTTTTAAATAGTTCATGTAGTAGTCTGAAAATGCGGATTTTAATTTCATATTTTACACTAAAAAAACTAGGTTTTATTTTTAACAAATACAATGCTACACGTATACATAGAAATTTAAAAAAAAACAGATTTATCTTATCTATTTCTTGTGATCACGTACAACATATTAATTGGTGATCAAATTGAATTAGTTGGGACTGTGTAATGATGTCTAAAAAACAACATATAAACATATTTTTGTAGACGTAGTCTACAAACATAGTTAGTTGTTAGCGTGTGTTTAACATGGTGTTTCCATATTTTATTTTAATTTACCATCCACCATGTTTTGTGTTGTACTTCTATAAACTAACGATAGTTAAACTACTGAAGCCTGATAACTTTGCGTCTAGATCTGCGCGAATCACTTCAAAGTAAAGTTCTTGACCTTTCTTCAAGTCAACAACCACTGAACCAGCAGCGCTAGTAGCGGCAGATTTCACTACTATAGCCGTACGGCACCTGCCTCCAGCCATCACACCAACTATAATCCGTTTATCTTCCCTTTCAATTAGAGTTACACAGACAAGATATAAACCATCATGTGGTGATATAAATGTTCCTGTTGTTTGATTAAAATGTTGACCGTTATATTCACGTACTTTACCAAATGTTGAAATAATTAATCCAACACTGACAGGTGTGGGATTAGCAAACTTCACAAAACAAGCATATCTGTTACATACACGTGACTCTGTTGATTAGAAAACATATGTATGATGTACATGTTTAATTTCATACATGATCTGACAATACAATGTATATTTACACTTATCTTTGAAATTGTTTACATAATTTTCTCTAAGACAATTTCAACTGTTTAGTACTGCCTCAGTTTTAGTATTTTTAGTTAATCATCTAAAACAATTTGCAGCTATAGATTTTACAGTGTAACAGGTAACGCAAACAATCAAGAAAAGTAAAACAAACTCTATGTACGTGTATTACATTCTGTATGTGTTCACATTATAGTTTAGTTATAGAAGATTAATATACCGAAATTTACTGAAATAAAAATCACCTGAACTATAGTTAGTGTTATGATGCATGTTTGACTGGGGAAATCGGTGCGCATGGTTGATGGTGCGGCCGTATATTGAACGAGTGAATGTGTGACGAGATACGAAAGATAGTGACGTTTTAGGTTAGAGAGTTGGTTGCTATGAGTTTATGTGTGAGCAGTTGAATCCTTATCGTCGGTGTGAAAGGACGTGTGTTGTAGTAGATACGAGATTAAAAGATTCATACACGGATTACTTGGTTCATCTTATCTCTGATCGTTTATCGTTGATTCGTTTGAATGTGACATAACTTAGTGGTTCTCAAGGTATAATACTCTCTCCCTGGTATTGGAGAGGAGTCACATGGTAGTTGGCTGGGTCAAGTAAATCAAACCCTCTCACACAGCAACACATAACCGTAACAGTTAGTCTGTTGTACATATCAAAGTCTGATAAAACCGATAACAAGATATGCACCATCAAACTTTACGGTTGTTTATTTTACGTTAATTTAAATTAATTGGATACTCAGATATGAAAAATGTATTTTTCGCTACGCCACTGGTGCGGAATATTATTAGTACTTTATAAATTTACATTGGACACTTGGAGGGTTATGAAGACAAATACTGATAAGCTACAGGCATTTGTAAACAAATGCTTACGGCATATACTTAAAATAAGATGGCCAGACAAAATATCAAACAAAGACCTGTGGCTAACTTTAAAGCAACAGAAAATAGAGGCAGATATCAAGGCCCGTAAATGGGGATGGATCTGACACATATTAAGAAAAGAAAAAGAAAACATCGCAAAGCACGCTTTGGACTGGAATCCCCAAGGAAAAAGGAGGGTGGGCCGGACAAGGAAGACATGGAGAAGAACGGTTGAAGAAGAGGCGAGGACAGCTGGGCTCACATGGGCACAGATAAAGGGGGCGGCCGAAAACCTAGTCCGATGGAGATGTGTGGTTACATCCCTTTGCTCGACAGGGGCCGCAAAGGAATGATGATGATGAAATTTACATGCGGTTTTTTTTTAAATATCGGAATGGTCTGTCTGGCTAACGAACATCACGTTATGGTCTAGCTAACGAACATCACGTCATGGTAACGAACATCACGTTATGGTCTACTTGCTGACAAACATCACGTTATGGTCTGTCTAGCTAACGAACATCACCTTATGGTCTGTCTGGCTAACGGACATCACGTTATGGTCTGTCTTGCTAACAAACATCACGTTATGGTTGTCTGGCTAACGAACATCACGTTATGGTCTACTAGCTAACAAACATAACGTTATGATCTGTCTAGCTGACGAACATCACGTTATGGTCTGTCTGGATAACGAACATCACGTTATGGTCTGTCTGGATAACGAACATCACGTTATGGTCTGTCTGGCTAACGAACATCACGTTATGGTCTGTCTTGCTAACGAACATCACGTTATGGTCTGTCTTGCTAACGAACATCACGTTATGGTCTGTCTTGCTAACGAACATCAGGTAATGGTCTGTCTGGCTGTATGATTTGGTATTAAAAATCAAATTTTTTATGGCAAACTTACCCATAATATTCAAATCTTTGGTCCATTTTGAAATGGCATCTTCTATTTTTTCCAGCTAAAATAATATTTTATAAAATGAATGGGAAAAATCACATAGTTATGTAGAACATATACTTGCTTTACTGATTTTAACTTGGTATGACAACTTGTAAGAACAGAAAATAATGTAAAGCATGAAAATGTGCTATTTTATAAATAAATGATTTATTTATGTTAATGAAAACATATTCTATTAAATGGTCCATTAAGAGTGTTAATATTTAATGCTGTATTTATCAACATCACAATTTAATTTTTATAAAAATTACTTCAGTTATACCTTCGTTATTCTTCCTTCCCTTGTTTCCAAGTTCTGGTTAAATGTTTGAATCAGTTTGTCAATTGGCATCAATCTTTGTTGCAGAAGCTTGATTATTAAACTGTACTAAAGAGCAGAATATTGTATAAAAGCATTACAATTTTGATTATTTTTCCTGCACATTATAACTAACATAAACATGTGTCTTAAAATTAGTAATAATAATAGCAGGTATAACTGTTAATAAAATTACTTAGTTGTGTTTTTATTTAACCAGGTTATAAAATGTGAAATAAGTTATCTGGCCAGTATGTGTATAATTGTTAACACATATATTAGCAATATACCTTTTGAGTTGATGTATTAAGCTTGATTTTATAACTCTCTTCTTGTAGGGCAGTCATCTGATCTGAATGTCTTATAATTTCTTGTGTCAAACTATCGGTTTTATCTTGCATCTCTTTATTTATTTTGTGTAAGTTGTTTTCATATTCTTTCATATCTAGAGACAGTTTCTCTAGTGTTTTGTGTGACTTGAATTCGTTTTCTTTTAAACTTTCAATTTCTTTATTCAGCTCCTTTACTTTGTTATCTTGTTCCCTTATTTGTCTTCTGAGGTTTTTAAAATTCTGTTTTTGTTTTTTAGTCAGTTGTTCAATGTTTACACCCATGTCACTCTGTTCTGTTACAAAGTTGTCTCTCCATTGTTTTATTTCTGATATGTCATCTGTAGACTTGTGTTGTATGTCCTGTAGTGAAGATAGTGTTGTTTCAATAGAGGCGAGTCTACGCTCTAGGTCAGGATGTTCTTCAACTGAGAATAGTTGAAAATATAAGTTTGTAATTTTAAAAGGTACGAAATCTTTAAAAAATAGGGTGTTAAAAATTAAACAAAACCATGGTATCAATCGTACATTGGTTTACAAAATACAATACATGTACATATTTTCAATAATATACGGTATATTATGCTGCTATTTAACGTGTTGTTCCAAAGAATAATATAATATACCAGTTGTGTGTACACATTGTGTCTTGAGTTGTCTTGTTGATTCTACTGTGAGAAATGTTGCTGTTGTCTGTGTGTCAGGCTGTGGTAAAGATGGCGTTGGTTTGTTAACAGCCATGTTGTCGTCTGGTGGAATCGGATTTAGAAATTTATTTTAATTGGAGTTGAAGTGAACAAGGATTTTATAGTACATACAATAAATATTGCTATTTTAGCTAGTTAAACTATAGCGCAAACCACGTAATACTCTGATCAAAAAGATCTTTGAATATGATCAAAATGTATACAAATACAAATAATTTCAAAATAACCGAAATCTATATAATATACATGCTGTTTCGTTTTGAATTTAACTTTTACGAGACTAATTATCGATTTTATAATAAAAAGTATTTAAACAAACTTTTAATGATTTATAAACCTTATGGCTCTTGAACCTTATTTTAGGGCGAATAAGGTAACACAAAATGATTGTAAATACTTCATTTTTTTAAAATTATAAATATTTACAAGATTCACTTATTTGATGTCGATTCTATATAAAAGTGGAAAAAGGTTTGTTAGTCGGTGGACAGTAAAATGATATCCCTTTAACACAGTATTTGAAATATCTGTAAACTAAACTGTAAACAATTTCGTTGCATTTTTACTTTCGTGTATATACGAAATATAGAGAAAGTCTTTTAATCTTGAAAAAAAAACGAGATTTGTGCAAATCTCGACATTTTACAGCTCACTGAGTCGGAAAAACATAGTTTTGCAATCTTGTCCGTATGTCTGTGTGTGTGTGTCTGTAAACAAGATAACTTGAGTACCGTTAAAGCTAGGTTGATGAAAGCTCATATATAAGTATTATATCAAAATCGTAGATCCATATCAACTTTCCGATAACCGAAAGTGGAACTTTTTCTTCTTTGAATTTTTCAAAAGCCTATAACTTGAGTACTGATTTAGATAGATAAATGAATATTCACATGTAAGTAAAAGATTTAATGTTCTGCCTTCGATCAAATTTTGAGTAATTTCTGTTGCCCGGAAGTAGACATTTTCGCTATTTTCGATTTCTAGAAAAACGCATCTGAATTTCTAATGTACTAATAATATTCCGCACTATTATGCACATTATATTTAGCATTCGCTTGGTGTGCTATTGTTTTTTCTACGATATTTTATTCTATTTTGTTTTAAAAGTTTAAGTATTTAAAATGGATTAAAAATCAGGTCTTTATATCCCGAGTTGCCATCCCCTGTTGTTTCATATAAGAATATTCGAGAAATTTTGGGGGAGATCACTCCCGGTTTATTTTCAGTAAAAACGCTACACTACTGAACACACAGTCTACATGATCGTGGGCTTTGAGACTTTAAATAATAAAAACTATTAGAGTACTGACCTAAAATATGTGACGTCACATCCAACAGTGCTCTGTCCAGTTCTTGTGATAGCTCGATGTAGCTGACAGATGATTGGTCAGTTTTTTCTTCTAGCCACGCCTTACTTTTTGTAACAACCTGGTGTAATTAAACAACAACATTTTTAAGTGGCCACGTGTTGTAGTGCTATACTATTACAAATATTTGAGTGCTATATTCTTAAACATGTTATGTTGTTCTGTTTTTTTAACACATTCACTTCGAAAAACGCTAAACCTACTTTATCGTGAATAAAATGATTTTTACATTTTAAGTATTACGAAGACTTTTTAGTTTGTAATGACTTACATTTTTCATATTTCCCAAAACAGGTTCCAGAACATGTATCTGTTCTTCCAAATATTTCTTGCGCTCTGTAACAAACTTGACCTGAATTCTCGACGACATCTAAATTTTAATAACACTAAATTTTAAAAATATGTTAACTCTGTCATCATCACTAAGTAAATCTAAAGCAGTGTTTCTTCTGGCAGATAAGGCTCGATCCCTGCCAACACTGAAAATTGAGAACGAAGAAGAAGAAGAAGTGTTTCTTCAATTTAACCCCCCCCCCCGCCTCCTAAAAAAATAGTCTACCGCCCCCCTAACGAAATATTTAAAATATGTACTTTTACAGTGTTCCCCCCCCCCCCCGAAAATTTCAAGTGCCACCCTTTATCTACTGACGGTACCATATATAAGCCTAGCTCTTAAATTATTTTCATTTAAGGTGAATCTTTATAATCATTTATATATTTATAATCTTCCCTGAGTCAAGTATAATTTTAGTGTACCAAAAGTAATATGATAATTCATTGTTTAAGAAAAAAAATATTTCATCCAGAAATTAATTCAGTAAAGAAAGAGTTAATTATAACAAAGAAATAAAAATCTAATACATGAGTTATAAATCTACCAAGACTAAGTTTTTCTCCTAAATTATTAAACTATAACTGGCAATCCACAATAAAATGAAAACTACTTTAAATATGATTCCTATTGATAACTTCAACACAATAGTAAAACCTGTTTTACTCTATGGAGCCGAGACATGGAGAATAACTGCTATAAATAAGAAGAAAATACAATCATTTATAAACGCATGCCTCAGAAAGATCCTGCGAATTCGCTGGCCTAAAACCATCAGAAATGATGTTCTATGGCAACATACAAATCAACTGCCAGTTAAAGTAGAGATCCTCCAGAGAAAATGGAAATGGATTGGCCACACACTCAGGAAGCCTGTATCCAGCATAACAAGACAGGCCCTCACCTGGAATCCACAAGGCAGGAGGAAGAGAGGCAGACCAAGAAAGACCTGGAGACGTGACCTGGAAGAAGACACCAAGAAGATTGGATACACCTGGGGACAGTTGGAGAGACTAGCCCTGGACAGAGACGTCTGGAAAACTCTTGTCAGCGGCCTATGTCCCAGTAGGGACGACAGGCCAACATGATGACTTTAAATATTGTTATATTCCTTTTTTAGATATGTTAACTAATGTTACAGTTAATTATGTAATACATATAAGAATCATGCGATAGTTTTTATTGGCTTCACTTATGTTATTCCTGCTTGCTAAAATTATATACTTGGGTATTTCCGTTTTTCACTTTCATTATCTATCAAGCGTTGTGATGAACTATTTTATAATTTGTCCGTGAATTGCCTAAACATACAGTAATAAAATACGTTTTTTTATAAAGCGACCTACATAGGCTACTTTTCTATTAATAAGTATATTTTAAGGAAACTATATATTATCAAGTTTTATAATTAAGACAACATAATCCTAATAATAATATAACTAAGTAATAGTAAGTAAGAATTAAGTAAGTAGAAGAGCTTTTGATTTTGTTTAAAATTCATTATTTTTAGGTTGTTTTGTTATATTAAAAGGAAATGCTGTTTTAAATATAGATGAAAATAGATTAAAGATTAGAAGTACCTTAAGCAGGCCTAGTCTTGTTGTGGGGAATCAAAGGACTAGATCTAGAACTTTTTAGAGTAGCTGAACTTCCTCCGTTAAATAATAGCGGGTTTTCCCGATCGCGTTGTTGTTATTAGAGTTATCTCTCTTGTAATGATGATTTAACTACGTGTAGATTAGCTGCAACAAGAAATCTATTTCAATAAAACAACTTTCTATCTAAAGGTAAGTAAAAAATTGTAGACCTCATACACATCGTTTTAATTATTTATACAGCGACTAACGTGGGTGAAGTTCAGATGCGATATGGAAACATGATAGGTTGTATATCGAGGTGGTAAAATGCGAAATTAAAGCACGATAGGTGATATATCGATGCGGTAAAATGCGAAATCGAAGCACAATGTATCAAATGTGGAGGCGGTAAAATGCAATCTTAAGCTGAAAGTTAAAACAGTCGTATACGTAAAATTTGTGTCGAGTAGTTGAAATATTTCACTGGGGCTATTGCATCTGTAGTTATCGTATGTTATCATAGGCGTAGCGACCCAAGCCGGCCCCGGCGAACTATCAACTTTGTGCCCCCTCCCATTTAATTTATATTTATTGACGTTAGTGAACAAAAAAATCACCCCCCTCCCCCCGAAAAGGTTGGTGTCACTTTTTAGCAGTCAATATTTTTTTTTTGGTGCCACACTTAGAGTGGGTACTATTCAATACCTTAGCTATCAATTATTTCTACCCCATTATCAGTCAACAATTTAGTGGTGCCACTTTAAAAAACGCATACTGATGTAACTTTGAAATGAACATTTATTTAGCCTATCTATCACTTACATGCAGATGTCTGAGTACAAACCCGCCCATGAATCTTTGAATATTTTGTCGGAACAGTTAGAGAAAATGCATGTTCATTTGAATTTATAAATCTGTATTTTAAATAAATATTTGTATGGCTATTGCCTTTGCTAACGACGAACATTTATTTTAACTGAATTAATAACGAAGACTATTTATCTACTTATGTATTTCCTCTAATTAATTTGATCAAACTAAAAACCAGGAACTGGATAGATAAAACTTCTGACACTGAAATGGCATTTAAAGATGTAGTTGCCATGGTAACATCCGCGAATGCTACATTGATAGAACATGTAGATATTCTAGCTGGTAAAGTGAACGTTTCTATCTTGCTTTTAGAATTGGCAGCTACATTGATATGTTCAACTGTAGTTGTTTTTTTTTTACTATCAGTTTTTGAATATTAATTATGTAACATATAACGGAAAATTTAGGCATGTCATTTAGTTATTTAATGTGAGTGAATAGTTTTTTTCTTATTATGGAGCATACGAAAAGCAAGTGATGTTTATTTTTTGAACAAAGACATAAGTTAATATATCTATTTTAGATTGATAAAGTTTGTAGTAAATCAAATTGAAAAGTTGAAACTGATAGATAGTTTTTGTCCTTATCAAAACATTTTTTTATGTTACAATCGCTTTCTAACAAAATTGTATATTCTTACCAATTAAAAAGTTTCAAATAACCCATCTTTAGACCAAGCTTTTTTTTTACAGAATACATAATACGGTCTACCAAGACAGTTAGTACAACACAAGACACCTGGTGTAACAGACACCAAGAAATCTCAAACTAGTCAGAGAGGTTTGTAAATTAAAGAACAATTAATAGCTTAATATGTTTTTAAACTATTGTTGCATAAACAGTTATTAACTGTTTAAATTTAAAGGAGTTGAAATAATACACTAGT